GGCACTTACGTCGACGCTGTTCCCCCGCCTGGGGTGAACGTAGTCGATGGTCGGTGGCTCTTCAAGGTGAAGTGCCCCCCTGGAGAGCCGCCTGTCTTCAAGGCGCGCTACGTGGCCAGAGGTTTCAGTCAGCGCGAGGGGGTTGACTTCTTCCAGACCTTTGCCCCGACCCCGAAGATGACCACTCTTCGGGCGCTGCTACACGTAGCAGCACAGCGTGACTACGAGCTTCACTCCCTCGACTTCTCTACTGCCTTTCTTCAGGGCAGCCTACACGAGCAGGTCTACCTGCGCCGACCACAGGGCTTCACTGGTACCTTCCCTCCTGGGACCCAGTGGCTTCTCAGGCGCCCGGTCTACGGCCTGCGTCAGGCTCCCCGCGAGTGGCACGACACGCTACGTGCCACGTTAGCAGACCTGCAGTTCTTTCCGTCCTCTGCTGACCCTTCACTGTTTGTGCGTTCCGGCCAGACTCTGTTCTACATCCTTGTCTACGTAGACGACCTGGTCTTCGCTACTCCTGACAGGGACGCACTGGCCTCTGTGAAGACTGAGCTGCTGAAGCGACACATCTGCACTGATCTTGGAGAGCTGCGTCGCTATCTTGGCCTGCAGATCTCTAGGGACAGAGCAGCACGCACCATCACTCTAACCCAGTCACACTTGGTGCGTCAGGTCCTTCAGAGGTTCGGTCTTCAGTTCTCCTCTGCACAGCCCACACCTCTACCTGTAGACCACGGACTTTCCGCTCCTGTTCCTGAGGAGCCAGTAGAGCCCAGTGGCCCCTACGCAGAGCTGGTGGGTTGCCTAATGTACCTGATGACCTGCACTCGCCCAGATCTCGCATACCCTCTCAGCATCCTGGCTCGCTTTGTGGCCACTAGCAGACACCGACCACAGCACTGGTCGGCCGCTAAGAGGGTTTTGCGATATCTAGCAAGTACATCAGGCATGGGGTTAGTGTTAGGAGGACGCATGCCAGTGGTCCTCACTGGGCACACAGACGCTTCTAGGGCAGACGACTCTGAGACGCTCAGGTCGTCACAGGGCTACTGTTTTAGCCTTGGTTCAGGTGCTATCTCTTGGAGATCCACTTGCTCGTCGTCTGTTGCTCAGTCTAGCTGTGAGGCTGAGATCTACGCTGGTGCCATGGCGGCACAGGAGCTCCGCTGGCTGACTTTCTTGCTCACAGACTTAGGTGAGCGGCCTAGCTCTGCCCCGGTCCTGTACGCTGACAACAGGGCCATGATACTCCTGTGTCAGGAGCCTCGACTTGAGGGCAGAGCGAAGCACATTCAGCTGCGGTACTTCCTCCTGCGCGAGCTACAGCAGCGTCGCCAGGCCCGCGTAGTTCACTTGGCCTCTGGTGCCAACACAGCTGATATCTTTACGAAGGCGCTTGCGCCTAAAGATCATCAGCGGCACTGTGTACAGCTCGGTCTCGTTCCTGTAGCCTCTCACTTGCTAGGACCTTGACTTTGTACTGTCCTATACATATCTATATATATGTACTCAGACTGGACTTGTGTCCTTTCCCAGTGGCTGGACTAGTAGTGCCGCCCTGTTCTTGTTCTTGTCTTGCTTGTACTCCTTTTGACTGGTCTTTAGACCCTTGTCTCAGTGGCTGGACTAGTAGTGCCGCCCTGAGCTGCTTGTTTAGGATTTGCCCCTATGCAGTCTAGGGGGTGTGTCAAATATATGTATAACTCATATTTGTATAGACTGTATAGGGTCACCTCTTAGAGGGTACAACACTCTTAGGTATATACCCTTGTTCTCTCCCTCTATGCTATCATTCAGTTTTTCTTTTGATAATAACTAGTGACTGTTCATGTGACTGAAAGTGGCGTCACCCTTCGGATGACTGTACGCGCGAATGTACTGTTCACTCGTTGACTCGCTACTGCTGACGTTATCACGCGCGTCCTTGCATATGAGGTATCGCAAAACTAGTACAGTGTAAGTGTAATATCAGGAATGCATGAGCAAACTGTATCAAGTATACTTCAACACTCCCCTTCATTCTTGGGTGTATGTCTCTGCATAAGTGTCGTCACGTTTGCAGATTCCAACCAGGTTGGAGCAATATTGAAACTTGCCCGGAGTTTCTTCGCAGCGATCTTATTCTGCTGTGGGGAGTCCGGTAGGGTGTATGACCGGGTGATGCCCTCCGCACGACAGAACTGTCCAAGCCGACCAGGGGCAAACTCGTCGCCACGGTCGGAGTGGAGACACAGCATGGGGAGACCGCGGTGGAAGCGCGCAGCTATGACCCACGGGATAAGAACGTCAAGCACGTCGGTCTTCCGCTCCAGGAAAAACACCGTGGTGTAGCGCGTGTAGTCGTCGACAAGCACTAGAAAGTAGCGCTCTCGACGCGCCCCAGGGATGGGGGCTGAGTCCCAAACGTTCAGGTGCAGGGTCTGGAGTGGCGCAGTTGCAGGGCAAAGCGAGAAGGAGTGAGGAGTACGGCGCAGCTGGTCCTCAACACATGGCGTGCACGGCGGCGCAGGCAAGGGAGGGAGGACAGCGAGTGACGCAGGGAGACCTAGGACAATACTGTGCTTGGATATGTGACGCAGACGCGGGAGTGCGGGATGACCTAGGCTGTGGTGCCACAGAATTGACGGGTGAGTGAGTGACCGACACGAGCAAGCCGCAGCAACCTGGGTAGACGCAGGCACCTGGGGGGATGCCCTCACCAGAGGGGACTCGATGTCGAGCATAAACAGGCCAGACATTGGGTCCCGGGGGAACGTGGTGAGGGGGGCACCTAAGGCGGACTCGGTAAAGACCGCGTACCACTCGTAACTAGGGAAAGTAGTGGTGACGCCGAGGTCCTGAAGACAGCCAACACCGACTAGGTTCCTGGAGAACGAGGGAATGTGTAGGCCTGTAAGGGAGCCCGAGGGAACCACCGAACAGGGAAGGGTACTGGAGCTACGGGCAACTACCGGACCGGAGGAGGGGTCAGCAAGCGCGACAGCGGCAGGGGCGGCAAGCGGCGTGAGCGCAGCGTGGTCGCGGAAGAAGCGGGCAGACGCCCCAGAGTAAAGCGTGAATGAGAGCGAAGCGGTAGCGGCAGCAGGCAGAGGGGCTAGCGTGGAGCCTAGGCTAAACAAGGCAGAAGGTCCTATGCTTGACGTATCAGGGGAGCCTAGACTACACACAAGAGGCACACCTACACTAGGGAATACATAGTAATAAGGTCCGGTCGCACTAGAGTTATCGGCATACATGGCATGCAAGGCAGGGCAAAGCCGATCCATCTCCATCTCAAAGACAAGCACACGGCGACGCACCAAACTGGGCCAGTCGGGAAGGTCCGGCAAAAGGTCGAAGCGGAGACGGAAGAGGTCGTCGAGGCAGCGGTAGCAGCGGGCGGCAGTGTGACTGGTACGACCACACACAGTGTCGCGGAAGGGGACGGTCTGGAGCTGGTACTGGCAACCCACGGCGTCGAAGCTGCCACCCGACGTCGAGCTGCGAGGGCCGCCACAGCTGGCACCACCACCAGAGACACTGAGCCACCCCGGCGGGAGGTGGCCCAACAGTTGCTGCTGCTGCTGCTACTGAGGCTGCTGCTGCTGTTGCTTCTCCAGGGCACCAGGCTAATTCCCTCGTCGGAACCACCGTTACCCCCACCACCCCCACCATGCTTCTGTTAAATTATATATTATATATATATATATAATTGTAGGCTTGATAAGTTTGCTATATTATTGAATCCTACTATAGAGGGGACAACCCCTCCCTTCTTGTGTCTCGTTCTATTCTAGTCCAACTCTCTTTCCTCTCGTAACTTTATCCTAGCCTAAAACCCTCTCGCCATTTCTATGGCTCTTTAGCTTTCTTAACATGGTTTCAGAGCAGGAGGTCCTTCCTGCTGGGACGTCTCATCACGCTTCCACAGTGTTCTCTCCCTCCTCTCCTCACTTCCGCGCTGCCGTGGCAGCCATGATGTGTTGGCATGGCGGCTTCGTGGTGCTGATGTGTCAGCCTCGACGCGCTGTCGTGGCGGCATCGTCATGCTGCCGTGGCAGTGTCGACGTGCTCCCGCGGCAGCGACGCTGCGCTGTGGCGGCGTCGTCGAGCTGCCGTGGCGTCGCCGACGGGCGACAGCGGGCCGCGCTATGTTTTAGCGCCGGCCAGCTCGCCCGCACGCCAGCCAGCACCGCGCCACCATGGCGCTTTGCTGCAGCTTAGCCCCCCCTCCTCTGCATTTCCCTTTCTCCCCGTCGCAGTCGATGGCTGTCTCGCCCCGTGCGGCCCCGTCGTTGCTGAGCCGGGCCACGTCGCCGAGTGCCGCGGTCTCCGTCGCCGCCGTCGCCGCCGTCGAAGCCGCCGCCGATGCCGCAGGTGCCACTGGCTCCGCCGCCACCCGCCATCACAGCCGCCGCTGTCGTCGTACCGTCGTCGACGCCGCCGCCGTCGCCGCCGCTCTGCCCCTACCGCTGACGTCGCCGCCTCGCACGCCGTGAGGTCGACCGCTGCTGACGAAGCCACCGCTGCTGCAGGCATGGGGGTACAAGGGTTTTGGGGGTGCTGCGTGCGTGGTGTGCTTTTGGCTACCATACCAAGCCTAGGGGGTGTGTTAAAATATATATATATTATAGGTTTGCTACATTCTTGAATTCTACTGTAGAGGGGACACCCCCCCGCTTCTTGTATCTCGTTCTCTTCTAGTCCAACCCTCTTTCCTCTCTTAACTTTCTCCTAGCCTAAAACCCTCTCGCCATTTCTATGTCTTCTCTCCTTACCTAGCTTTCTTAACAACTTCAACATGATGGAGAGTTTCAGGTGGGTATGGTGTTGAAATGACCCAGACTTTAGGTAAACCTGAGCACCAACAAAGTGCTTTCTAGGTTGAAGGTTCTCATAACTTCATAGGCTAAAGCACATAGGGGATGCATAATGCACCCAGCTAAGTATAACTTGCTTTGTGCTAAGGAACTTGCTCCGGATGTGTCTCCCAAGATCTTACTGCACCAGCATAAGGTCTGAATCAAGTGCACGTAACCCTCGTGGGGAATGAACGCCATGCATACACATTGTTACTCCTAACAAAGCAATTGAATGCCATAAGTGTGGTACGAGATACTCTATGGAAGTGTGCCCCCCCAAGGTGGTTAACAAGAGTCAGAGGAACGTGGGTGGCATTGAGAAGTGTAGAAACTATACTGGACTGAGAACCCACCGCGTGGGGACCCAAAGAAGGGAAGCCCAACGTGCTCCAGAGCAGTCCAACGCGTTAGTGAAAGAGCCTGGTGTTAACTTGTCAGTATTTTAAAGCCAAAAGCCCCTTTACAGAGCACTATCGGGCTCCCTTCCCCTCATTGCATAGCGCAAGATTCCATGTAGTTGCATGCATGTAGATCCTCCAGGTCGTATCTTCCTTCACTGGAGGGATAAGCGGAAAGAACGGAGAATCGAGAAAGCAGATTGAATAATAAAAAACGGCTGTTTGGGAATCAAGGCACGCGTGTTTTAGGTGTGATTTCGCGGCAGAGTCTGCCACATGCATCTGACTACTCTCCAGAAACATTTCTAAAGGACCAGCTGAAAGCACCAAAATGGTGAGTCGTAGCGGTGTTTGAAGCGCACCTCGGATCGTACTCTCGCACGGACGTGAGCGCCAAGCCAAGCTCATCCCGCCATCGCAGCTTCCTCTGCCGAGGGACCTTCGCCCGAGCCTCCTCTTCCAGCGACGCTGCAGCTGCTACCGCTGCTCTCGCGATCAAGACGGGCGATACCATGCCCGAACACGCCTGCTTCCCGAAAACAGGCGCTAGCAAAGGCGCCATCGCACTCATGATGGTTGCGGAATTGGCCTCGTTACAGGAACGAGCCGCGTCGAGGAATTCAAGGCACGCTGTGGCTCCGGATTCGGGTTCGCTGCCGCGCAATTCTGACGATTCGCCGCAGCAGGGACCTAGAGAAGGCAAGGAGAAGGGGAATAAAGCGAGCGCCGAGACCGAACAGGTTCCGGGGAGAGGGACAGCCATGCCTGGCCACTGGATATCTGTCCGATACTTATCGTTTGTGGAGTTTGCAGGCCAGCTCTGTGGCTCTACTAGAGTCTCAGAGGAATCAACGCAGGATGCCCATCAAACAGAGATGACAGCGAGTTGACACATCAGAATGTGCTGAGATAATAACATCGCACCCAGAGTGAACTGAAACAAGCCGACCAGTCAACAGAAAATTTTGGGGGAACGGAGGGGGGACAAAAAGGCGGGAAAAAAGATCCTCGCATCGAGGTTCTGGTTGTGAATTTCCAGCCTGTTTCGAAATCTCGAGGAGGGTCACTTGCGAATTTCATTTCACCTCGATTTTCGCCTCGCCTTGATGGTCTTGGAGAGATCTTCTTAAAGCTATCCATTTTTGCAAACATTTTCAGGAAGGCACCTTTCCTTGAACGTCAGCCGAACCGCCCGCCTAGATTCCGCACCTAGCTTCGAATTAAGCTCGTTTTTAATAAAGCTTTAATGTTTTTGACAGGGGAAGAATCGGGATCACCCCAGCAACCTTCGTAGTTCAACTGTTTCACTTTACAATCTGCTCATCTATCAGGAAATATCAGGAGTCCTTTATCAGAAGTACTTTATACAAAGCCTGTGTATTTAAGCATTACACAAATATTTTTTGGAAACAACATAAAACGTGTCTTCGAACTACATTCACGCACCTAATACGGATTGAAACTGATTGTTTAGCCTTTGTACTCAAATAAATTAAAATCTGGTGCCATCAACATTCTATGAGATATTTAGGCAAACACGAAATATAGAATGAATTTAATCATTAATATACGATTTATTGACCAATATTTGGCTTGCATAAGCTGAGTTTGGATACTCAACATAATGCGTTCTATCATGCATGTTATTATAAATTGAACTTCAAGAAAAGTCAAAATGAGTTGACAGCTTGAGACGTGATTGAAGATTCCAATTGCATACTTTGGAGTCTTAAAAAAATCCGTTCTACTGTACTCAGGTCTCTCCTCTCTTCGACCTTGCAACCGTGTCATCCAACCCTGAAATATTGTAAGTTACTAAGTTACTTTTTGCAAAAGATCGTCATTGTTTCGAAGCTGGTGCCGAATCTAGTACGGGCAGCTCGGTTGACATTCATTGAAAGACCTTTCCCCGCAAATGTTGACGCAATGGGATAACTGCCGGAAATCTTCGGTGAAATGTGGGACGGGATTGGCTGGCTTGGGGGGGGGTCACAAGTGACGTCCTTAACTCTGTGGTCAGCCAATCAGAAGGCAATGTCGGGGGGCGGCTCCAGGGTAAATGTGGCATCAGGCGGTGCGATTTCCCCCGGCAAGGGGTTTCGAAATTCCAACGGCTTTCGCTCGCGCCCTGGCGGGAGAAGAGCTCGATGTGGCAACCATTTCGCCGAGCCTTCGTTCACTTACCATGTGCACACCAACATGATACTTACCGTTCGCGACGACCTGCATCGGGAATCGCAGAAGGAAGATAGAGTTCGCATTCTTCGCATATCCATCCAGCTGTTACGAGCATTAGGGTTGAAATAAGTGCATCATCTTGGATTTTCTGGCCTGAAGGAACTGTAGAATCCTCAACAAGCTTCCGAGTTCACCCTTGAGAAGAGTTTCTGGGTTGCAACTGTGCAGCTGTCAAGTTCCCCCATTTTCACAATTCCTGCACATGCAGAAGACGCGCCTCGAATCCGATGCCTCTTGGGACCAGAAACGGTACCTTTCAATTGGAGTAGCAGCCATCTAGGATCCAGACAAAGCAGTGGCTGACTAACCACGGCAAGCAGTCAAACTGGCTAGTTAGCGCATCTATTCGTTACGTTAACAGAGCGAAAAGCGGTGCATGGATACTGCAGTGACTAACTGAGTGAAGCAGCAGCCAGATGTAGAGTGCGCGTGCGCAAGATACAGACTGAGGATTTGAACTTTCCCGTCCGCTTACTGTAATACAGCGAGAACTCCGTCTCCCATAGGTTAACCAAGACGTCACTACCGTAATCCTCCACGTCATTGTTCGTCTAGTTACTTGCAGATTCAGTCTACCTCTGGCCGCGGAGGGTGCAGCTTTGACGGCTCGGGTATACACGCAGCAATCAACGGCTGACCGTGCACAGCGGAGGCTGGGGATGGTCTCTATGGGAGACAATCTGTAGAGAGAGTGGCCTTTCAATCTAGCGGCACCAGGCTACCCAGATCTCAAGAACTCTTTGAGTCTAGGCGGCAACTGCTTGTCACCGTCACCTTCCCACGAAATCTGCCGACCAAGCTTACCATCACGCCGCTGTTCCCAAGCTAATCGACAGGCGTCGACTGCTCCGATCGTTAGTAAAACACATCATTGACGCCCGGAATCCGACTCCCTTTCACGCCCCTTCGCTGCTCCGCCCTGATTGCCACCCAGATATGAAACGTTTATTTGTCTCCCAAATCGAGCCGCAATGGTCGCGGGTGGGCCCACAGGAGAAAACGAGCTCCTTCGACAAAGCTCAGAGTGAATCCTGCTCGCGAGAGTGGAGAGAATTCGTGAGCGCCACGCGATTGCGGCGGCCTTGTCCCGAAACGGTGCTTCTTGGTCCTATTATTCATGGATCAGGATCTAAATAGCTCATATTTCCGTGCGTTGGAGAGCCAGCACACAGCATACATCATGACCGTTCTACCCTTTATCTAGCTGGCAGAGGAATAGAGCTAACCGGTGAACCTTCCTCCTTGAGCCACGTCGTAGATTTGGGATCTTCGCCTTATACCTTCTGGCCGCGGCGCAATCGAAGATCACTGCGTTTCTAAAATATCAGGGTATTAGAAGGTTCTAAAATCTCTGCGTGCAGGATTTTCTCGTCTTAGCTCAGCTTCCACTCACCGCCAAATTCCGATTGAATACCATTTTCGAAAACTTATCGGAAGACTGGCTGGGGCTCCTCAGCTCTCTCTCGAAAAGACTCTACTATTTGAGTTCTCCTGCTCGTCTTTCTCTTCAAGGAGCCATAACCTTTCCTTCATGCGTTTGAACTGCGCCTGATCTTCATGTCCGAACCGTTCTGGGTTTGTTTTGAAGCGCGAGAGTAACCATGGAGTCCTTCAAGGTTTACATTTCAGACGAAGAGGATTGCTTATCTCCTTCCTCCCTCCCCTCCGTCTCCCCGCCTTCGTCGCCGTCATCCCCGCCTGGCTCGTGGCTTCGCGGTCCTCTTCTTGGCTGCGGAGCCTTCGGTAGCGTCAGCCTCGCGATTGACGGCACGACCGGCCACCTGATGGCCGTCAAATCGGTAACGGCAAGCGGTGACGGGGACCGTCAGCAGCCGTCCAGGGAGCTGCAGGCGCTGGAGAACGAGCGGCAGATCCTGCAGAAAGTGAGCTCGCCGCGGGTGATCGAGTGCTACGGCGCGGATTGGTCGGAAGAAAACGGCGTCAGATCGCGAAATCTCCTCCTAGAGCTCGCGTCAGGAGGCTCCCTGGCCAATCTTTTGAAGAAATTTAACAAGGGAGACGGATTGGACGAGATCCTGGTTAGGAGGTTCACGCGGGGGATCGCGGAGGGGCTCCGCGATCTGCACGCGCACGGGATTGTTCACTGCGACGTGAAGGGCCAGAACGTGCTGCTGTGCAAGACCGGCGTTAAGCTCTGCGACTTCGGCGCGTCCTTCCAGCTCGACTCCCCTGGATCCCCGGGATCCTCCCAGCTCTATTCGCCTCCGTCTCAACCGTTATCTTCTGACGACTCCAAGGGAAGCCGTGTGCAACGGCGATCCGTCAATTTCAAGGATGCGAGAGGCTGTGAAGCTGGAGTCGCAGGCGGTCGCGGTGCAGGGTCTGCGAAATTGGCGGGGACGGCGGAGCGGAAGCAGATGAAGGGGACGATCTGCTGGATGGCGCCCGAGGTGGTCGCAGAGGAAGGCGCGACTCCCGCTTCTGACGTCTGGTCGCTGGGATGCACCGTCATCGAGATGCTGACGGGACGTCCGCCATGGGTTTCCAGGGAGGCCGTTACCCAGAATCGCCAGAATCCGAAATCGTTCATGTCGGTTTTGTACAAGATTGGCTGCTCGGTGGAGGTTCCTGAATTTCCGGCGGGAATTTCGGCTCAGGGACGGGATTTTCTGCTGAAATGTCTGGATCGCGATCCTGACGGACGGTGGTCGGCGGAGGATCTCCTGCAGCATCCGTTCATCCACGTGGCGTCAGATGGCGGGGAAAGCGAGGCTGAAGATTTCAACTTCTGCAGCAGCAGTCCGGAAGCTTCAGGTGCCAGTGGTGCTGTTCAACGGCAAGTGGCTGGTGATCAGCATGCTGCTTGCGTGGTCACTGATAGCTTCAATGTGCAACCCCCGGCCAGTGAGCCTGCATCTGGGGTTATTGTTTCCAACATGGCTCCAGAGGAGCATCCCCGTCCAGCCTTCACCATGCCGCCTCCTCTCAATGTCTCCTTTGATTTCACCAGTGAGCCAAGCGCTGGACTCTTGACTGCGCGTGGGGGAGGTCGCAGCTGCTTTGAAGGTCTCAGCAGCCTCACCAGCTTCGACCAGAGCCCGGCATCCATGGATGATTCACCGAATGCAGACGCCACTGGCGCTGTGGATTCTGCTGCATTCAAACTATTCGACAATGCATTTGCTTCTTCTTTCTTCTCGGGATCTCCCTCACCTCATCTCATCTCCCCACTTCACGAGGTGGCCCGTGCCTTCAGTGCCGGTTCTTTCTCAGACCAGCTCTCCCCATCAGACAAGATTTCTCCAGGGTCTCCTGATGAGCGTTCATTCCCGCCTGCACGCTCAGCACCTGGGTCCTTCCAATCTCCTGCTCAGCCTGAAGCATCTCCGTCTTCTGCTCTGTTTACTGTCTTCCAAAACTTGAATTCTCGTGAAGAGTCCTCTCCTGCTCTGCCTGTAAGGGCGCTCCCTCTAGTTTCCGAGATTTCTCTTTCTCCTGAGCCGAAGATCGGCTGTGGCCTGTCACTGGTGTGTCAGGATTCGCCAGCTGCAAGCGCAGGCGCTGCGTGTGATGATGATGCCAGTTGCTGCTGTGCCATTGACAGTGAATGCAGCCAAGTTCCTTCATGGAGATTCGCGCCTTCCAGGGTTAGTGATCCCGTGTCACACTCTAAGGGAAGAACTTCTGAGGGGCTGGTTTCTGGGGGGGAGGCTGGTTATTTTCGTGCTACTCTGCATGGCATTCTACCTATGGTGGGTCAGATGTCAAGGGTTTTTTTTAGGGCTGAAGCTACATCGGGCTGATGGTACAGTGTATATAAGACATGCAGTGGACAAGCATTGCTGTTGTACCTTTTTATTGCAAGAAAATGTTTTCCTTGACACGGGCAGGCAGGAAAAATGGGGAACTAGCAAATCAGATGCCTTTCACTATACAAAGTACTTCAATTCTACCAGAGTTTGTAAAGAAGATTATGAAGGGTGTTGTCCACCATGGCCTGCCCCACATCCCCAAAGAACATGCCATTCTTGGTGCCCTGCTCCTTCCTATGGCACGTGTAGTGTAGGTCCTTCTCACTACACGTATCAAAATACCTCGGAGCCTCCACCGGCCACCCGTCGAGATACCCAATCCCGTACCGCCGAATCTCCGCCTTGATCATCGCATTCATGTGCTCGATCAGAGAGTTGGTCGGAATCAACCCCCCGCACTCCCCACTCGCCCTCCAAGGAACAATGCTCCGGTAAAGCATCCATGGCTTACCATTAGCTCCGGCCGAGTTACCATTCCCCCGGTGCTTCCCGTGCCACAGTTGCAGCCTGTCCAGTTGGCGCCTGGCCCAGGCAACGTACTCGGGGAGGTGTTTACTGAAGGCCTGCTCCGCCTGCTTGCAGTTGCAGGTGGCCCAGAAGCCCCCGTCGATGATCGTCACATCGGCAGACTTTGACAAGTCAGGGAACGTGTTGTTGCGGTGCGACCAGAAGCCACGGCGACTGAGGTTGGGGGGAGGGTGGGGAGGGGAGGGGGTGGGGGCAGGAAGGGGGGCATGAATTAGTAAGCCGCTGGCGATGATTGTTACATTGGCAGAAGACGAGAGTCCAGAGCACGTGCTGTTGCGGTGCGACCAGAAGCCACGGCGGATGTGGGGAGTGGGGGAACGGGGGGAAAGAGACGGGGTAGGTTGGGTGAGATGGAGGAGGAAGTCATCTAGACATACAGATGTCGACACGTTGGGGAACATGTCGTTGCGGTGTGGGGGGTGGGGGGGAAGGGGGGAGACCAGAAAGAAAGAAAAGAACAAACCGTTGCCGTGCGACCAGAAGCCATGGCGACTGCAAGAGCGAGGGGAAGAAGGTACCAGGTTGGAATGGGAGGAGCCAGGGGAGGAACAAGCTGGAAGAAGACACAGAACCTGTTGTGATCCAGGTATAACATGGCCGTAGTAACCGAAAACGGATCCTTATGCGCATCCGTACTCGTCGTTCTGGAATATCCAATCGACCCACCCAGTAGAAATTCAGTCTCAGCGGCTGCAGGTCTGTTCCCCCCTTCTTACACTTCTAGTAGCACCTCCATGACATGCATCCATACGCCTTGTTCTGGTGCATCCATACGCCTTGTTATGGTGCATGATGCATCCATACTCCATGTTCTGGTGCATCCATACTCCTTGTTCTAGTGCATCCATACTCCTTGTTCTGGTGCATCCATACTCCTTGTTCTGGTGCATCCATACTCCTTGTTATGGTGCATCCTGTTGTAAAATATATATCTATACAACATGCATGCCTAGATTAGGAGGTGTAGTCATTATAATTATTGGGGGGTTGTTGGTTGGGTTGACCAACCCCACATTTGGGTTGGTCAAGATTGGATTTGGTCCTAGACATTTGGTTGGCACTATTCCAACCAAATGGTCCTTGGTCCTAGGAACCAACCAATCACCAAGCACCACAATTTGTGGTTGCTTGCCTTCCAAGCAATCTCTCTCATTGGTCCACATTGTGGCCAATAGGAGAGCACCACACTTTGTGGTTGCTTGCTCTACAAGCAACCTCTCGCATTGGTCCACTTTATGGCCAATAAGAGAACTTCCCTTCCAACTCTTCCTTGCTCCTTGTTTTGTACAAAAAAGCCTCTTGGCTCCCTACTCAATTTAATCCTTTCTCTTCTAAGCTAGTTCCTTCACATCCATACTCCATGTTCTGGTGCATCCATACTCCATGTTCTGGTGCATCCATACTCCTTGTTTTGGTGCATCCATACTCCCCATGTTCTGGTGCATCCATACTCCATGTTCTGGTTCATCCATACTCGTTCTGGTGCATCCATACTCCATGTTCTGGTGCATCCATACTCCATGTTCTGGTGCATCCATACTCCATGTTCTGGTGCATCCATACTCCATGTTCTGGTGCATCCATACTCCATGTTCTGGTGCATCCATACTCCATGTTCTGGTACATCCATACTCCTTGTTCTGGTGCATCCATACTCCATGCTCTGGTGCATCCATGTCATACCAAACACTCTTATACATCCGTACTTGTCGTTTTGGAACATCCCATCCACCCAGTAGAAGTTCAATCTCAGCGGCTGCAGGCCCATTCCTCCCTTTTTACACTTCTAGTTGGAAAATCACTCACATCACATGCATCCCTTGTGGCAATACTCACAGGCATCCCTTGTGGCAATACTCACAGGCATCCCTTGTGGAAATACTCACAGGCATCCCTTGTGGCAATACTCACAGGCATCCCTTGTGGCAATACTCACATGCACCCATACTCGTCGTTCTGGTACATCCCATCAACCCAGTAGAAATTTAATCTCAGCGGCTGCAGGTCCCTCCTCTTCTTGGGCGGCGGCAGGTTGATCACAATATCCCCGTGGTACTTCCAGAGCGCGTCGTCCACGTCGTGCATAACGAGGTAGTTTATAAAGAGCATGAGGAAGCGCTGGTGCGAGTCGCCCACAAAGCTGATCTCCCGAATGCCCCGTTCCTGAAGCGCCTCCACCCACTGGGAGGGGGGCGGCAGGGGCGCGGCGCACGGGTAGAACCGCCACCTGCAAGTTACAAGGGGAAAGAGGGAGGGAAGAAGGCACGATGACAAACTACCCACTGGAAAGGGGGGGGGGAGAGGGGAGAAGCGCAACTGAAGAGCTTCCACCCACTGGGAAGGGAGGGGGGAGGGGCGACGCGCACGGGGATAACTGACCACCCACCTGCAAGGGTAGGGGGGGGGGGGGGAGAGAGGGGGGGGGGTTCAGCAGGGTCCAGATTGGGCGTCATTCATGCAAGGGGGAGAGGCGCACGGGGAGAAACGCCACCTGGCTGGAGGAGTAGGAGTAGGGGGGGGAGTAGGGGGAGGAGTCGGGGCGGAGTAGGGGGGGGAGTAGGGGGGGGAGTAGGGGGGGAGTAGGGGGGGGAGTAGGGGGGGGAGTAGGGGGGGAGTAGGGGGGGAGTAGGGGGAGGAGTAGGGGGGGAGTAGGGGGGGAGTAGGGCGAGTAGGGGGGAGGAGGAGGGGGAGAAGTACCACCAACTGAAGGGCCAAGAAACTTAGAATTTATCCTGTGCGAAAGCTCACCTGTAGGGACTGTAGCTACAGGTGAGCTTTCACGAGATGGAGGCTCGCAATGCAGAGTGGAAGCTCGCTTGTAGGGAGTTCAGTTTAACCTTCTATGGCAGCTCACTTGAAGGGAGTTCGGATTAACCTTCTATGGCAGCTCACTTGTAGGGTGTTCGGATTAACCTTCTATGGCAGCTCGCTTGTAGGGAGTTCGGATTAACCTTCTATGGCAGCTCACCTGTAGGCGTCCTCCACGTAGAGCCATCTGCCAGCTACAGCCTGATCGCACGGAGCCTCAGTCCACTCCACCTCCGCTTCCTCCCGCCAATCCCCCCCTTCCGCCTCCCCCTCCGCCCCCCCTGCCCCCTGTGCTAGTATCCGCTCCGCTTCCCCCCCTGCCTTCCCCCTTTTCCCCGCCTTCTTCGTCCCGCTTTCCGGATTTGGGAGGGGATTTGCCGGGAGCTTGGCGAAATCTCGCAAGGAGGAGGGGTCATTCGCGAAAGGGTGGGAGACCGAAAGGGTCCAATTCGCGAAAGGCTCGATGCCCTGCTGGGCGAACCTCGAGGTGTAGTTGAGGGTGCTACAACCGGATGTCACTGTAGCGCTGCAAGGGGGGAGGGGGAGCGGGGGGGGGAAGTGGGGAGGGGAGGGGAGGAGAGGGCAGGAGAGGGGAGGGGGGCAGTGAGTGGAAGGAGTGAGTGGAGGAAAGCGAGGGAGAGAGAAGGAAGGACGGGGCCGCCAGGCGCAGCTTAACGAGGGGCGCAGCTAAGCGAGGGGCGTAGCTAAGCAGGGAGGTTAACAGAGAGTAAACTAGCGGGAGGCGCAGCTGAGCGCGGTGCTACGGGATCCACTCGGGGGTGATTTTTTTTTCTCGCGGTGCAAGTATTTCCTCCCCCCCCCCCCCAGCTAATAAGCCGCGTCCCGGACCCGATGAGGGCGTAGCGCGTAGCTAGGCAAAAGGGGGGGTGTGGGGAGGGGGGAAGGCGCAGCTAAGCGAGGGGGGAGGGATGGGGGAGGGAGGGGGGAGAGGGGGGGGGGGGGGAAGGCTCAGCTGAGCGCAGCGGAGATCGCTTACGTGTATTCGCCCGCGTCCCAGACTCGATAAGAGACCTTCCACCGCTTGTTGTCGCTCCCCTCCCGCTTCACGTCCGCGTACGCGATAGAAGGCCCCCACAGCTCCACTATAAGGTAATCCAAGAAGGCTTCTGTAACCGGGAATACCCATTTCGCGGGCGGTCTAATCTCGATCTCGAAGCTACACCACTGCCCCGCCACACACCCCGCGCACCCGCTCCCGAACATAACCACGCCGCCGCGCCGCCGGCCTTTATCTTCCACGCGCTTTTTCCGCCGCGAATCGCGACGGCTCGCGTCGTCGTCCCAGCCGTACCCGCCGTGGTCCCCGGACCACCAGCAGAGCGGCTTCCCGCCGAATTGCACGGCGCGAGCGTCGAATGCGGCGTTAGATGCGGCGGAGGCGATAGCGCCGATGTCGGTGCCGCCTTTATCGCATGGCTGAACGGTCGTTGCGGCGCCATTCGCGGCGGAATTCATGGCGCCGCCGCGCCAAACGGAGGCGACCTTGACATCGATTAAATCGAGAGGACCGTACCAGAAGGAGGTCGACAAGATTAGGGTTAGGAGGACCGCGACTAGTAAGACAAGCTGTAGGAACTGACGCGTGTATAGCGGGGCTGGCTGGACCGTCATCATTCCAATCAGTACGATTTGCGTTTTTCGTGGAATGCGAACCTCGCTCTTTCGCGGAGGAGCCTTGATCGGGCCAGGGCAGCTGAGAAGAAGGCCGTTTTCGTCGCTGTGTGGCTAAAACCGGGCACACTACAGCGAGCACCCACTAGTACGTGAACGCTCTATCATCGGTAATTTGACCATCCGTGGTGTGGAGCTGTACACTCGAGAAAGCTGTGTCACTCGAGGCAAGCGCAAGCGCGGGCTGAAGGTAGTGGCTGGCAGCACGAGGGGTTGTTGCAGTGGTGTCCCTCCCGAAACGGCATGACTGTCGCTGCTGTCCTCCGAGATGGAGAGGAGCAGTGGAGGGTGGTGGTGGGTGGTGGGTCAGCTGGTACACGTAGAACTGTACGGCTGTGACGGAAGAAGCACTAGATGGTTGATATAAGGCATTGACCTTCCCTTAGAGCGATACTGAGGGCGTGTTCTGCACCTACGTTTGATTGCGATTGGGTAAGATGCTCTGCGAGTCAGAAGGTTCAAACAACGAACTGGAACGGTTGGGTGGGGTACTAAGCGAGAAACTTCCCCGCGGGACACGTTTTGAGAGAGAAGGGAGAAACACAGACGGGGCAAAATGGAGAAACGAGGGCAGGGCAAGAAGAAACGTGTGGCTGAGATCGCCTTCGGAAGTTTGAACGACAACCGAAGTTTGGACAAGAAAGCTGGTTTCTCAATCTGTACACATATTTACCCAGAAAAAAACAGACCCCAGGTTTTTTCCCCAGTTTACTATTTTCCGAAGTCCACCTAAACGTGCACTGCAACAGTGTGTTTCAGCGAGAAATTGGCGAGTCTCTATAAATTGCTTCGGATTAGGGAATGTACAATGATGTGATCTTTAATAACACGAGTATACCCGTGAATTAGACTGTCATCCTGTGAAAAACGAAAAGTTCCTCTCTTGTCCAGACTTCAGTTGTCGTCCAAACTTCTGAAGGCGATCTGAGTGGGTGGGTGGGCGGAATTCGGAAAACCACCTGGTTGAACGACGCTGGCCGCTCTGATTGGCTCGAATGGCGCTCCATCCATGCGCATAAAGACTGGCATCTGCGCTCCGACCGCCATGGTTGGTTTCTCTTATCGAAGCAACCGAGGACATTTTGTGTCTACAGTTGTTTTGGGTACGCAATAACACGTTTTTGAGTAATATATGCGAGCAAGCTAGTATTGTAGGGGAAAATCATGTGCTATGATGCACCCAGATATGATGTTCAATATTATGAAACGATTAGATTCTTAATTACCGCTAATATCAGGATAACGCATCAGCTGTATCCCGAGAATGAACTGGCGTTCAGAATCAGCTATTATGAAAAAAAAGTAACCCTTGCTGTTATTCTTGCAGTATCTTGTAGCGAGGATTGCATCATGGAGTCCCCCCTTCACCGTCGAATTCGAGGATCTCGGGGGCCTACAGAAGGGCAACGCCCGATGGGACGATCCACAGGTGAAAGAGCATTTCAGCTGCACGAGTGAAGTGGAGGTGTCAGCTCAACAGGCCTCGTGAGAGAGTCAGCAGGAGGTCAGGCAGGCGTCAGCACAGGAATTCGGCAATCCCAAGGTACCGTGTTGTGCCACCTAGTACTTCTGCCGAGACGTCAGCTTCCTTCCATATCCAACAGCGTTCGCTCTCCTTGTCTGTAAGGCTGCTAGCTCATGGGTAGGCTGCAGTGGAGTAGAGTCGAGTCCTTTTCTAGCTCGCTCTTGCAAGGAGTGAACAGACTAGAGTCATGCATAAACTTTGTGATTTGATCGCAATAGTTTGAAGCGATCCGAGTTTCGTTAGGGGAGTAGCTGCTAAGACAATAGGTTCGGCATCTGATCGTCGCTACGTCTTCGTGAATCCTGCTTCCTCTTGCCTGGGAAAATCCGCCTCTCCCGCCGCATCGCGAGCTCATTCGCACCGCTGTCGCTGATATTCGCCTGTTACCACCAGGCAACCCACCAATAACCAACCACAGCTCCATTCACAGACACCATCCAACCATGGCGGCGGTTCACCTACCGCTTCTCCTCTCAAGCGTGGCTATTCGCAGACTCCCACATCATCCTACCCCTCCATGCCTCCTCCCTGTCTCTCCAAGCTTTTCCGCCGTCTCCCAGACTCTCATAACTGCGCAGAATGATTTTCGTGCCAGCCAGGGTTCGAACCCGGGTCGGGCGTTTGCAATAGTCAGGCCTGGACCTGTGGTGCTTCGGAATTCCGAGGGACCCGAGATGCGTAGGAACGGAGCCGGAACCGGGAAAATCGAGGATACTATGGCGGCAGAGGTAGCAGTAGAGGTACCAGAGGAGTACCAGGTGGCTGGCGGATTTTGGACGGATCTAGGCAAGGTGGTGAGAGGGGGGGCAACGCAAGTGGGAGCAACTGCAACGGCGGTGACAAGGGCAGTCGTCGCAGGAGAGGCAGAATCAGCAGTGATAGAAGTAGCGACAGTAAGAGCAGTAGCAGCAGCAACAGCAGCGGCAGCAGTAGTAGCAGCAGCAGCAGTGGCAGCAGTAGCAGCAGCAGCAAGAGCAGTAGAACCTTCACTGGAGAAGCCTCCTCTAAAAACACCCGCAGCCGTGAGGCAGTATCCTCAAGCAAGAAACGGAGCGCCAATCCTGCTGCCAGGCCTGTTGCCAGCCCTACCAGCAGGGATTCGCCAGAAGAACAATCTGGTCCCGTTACAAGCATCCCGCATGTGCGTGAGTCACCAATTTCGCATAGAAGGACGGACGCGCCAGCGCCACAGAGGGCCCTTCAAACGGTCGCTCGTTATAGTCGCGAGGAGAAGCTTTCTCTGCTGATGGACGATCAGGCCCTGCAGAACCTTCCGTTACAGTCACTTCGAACCCGCCACACGCCATACAACCCACAGTCCGGATCCGATTCTGTTCGCCGTGACAGCAGCAACAGCAGGGGGAGGGGAAGGGGGAGGGGCCGGGGAAGGGGAAGGGGAAGGGGGGAAGGGAAGCTTCCTGGAACGTCAGGGCATGAGGAATCGTGGGAGGGGGGGTCTAGATCTGTGGAGGGTGGGGGGATGGGAGGCAGGGAGGCCGAAGGGAGAGCAGCGAGAGCCAGGGCCGTTGCCCTGCAGAAGTGGCTGGAGGAAGGATATGCCCTCTTGCACGGTGGTACTGGGGGAGGTGCTGCTGCTGGCACTGCTGCTGGTACTGCTGGTGGTAGTGCTGGTGGTACTGGTGGTGGTACTGGCTGGTGGTGGTGGTGGTGGTGGTGGTGGTTCTGCTGGGAGCCATGGTGACGATGCTAGTGCTGATGCTGTTGCTGGTGGTGCCGGAGTAGGATCAGCAGCGCAAAGAACAGGAGCAGCAGCAGAAGCAGCAGCGCCGGTCAGGCCAGCAGCAGCAGCAGCAGCAGAGCTTACGCCATCTGGAAACGACTCGTTCTTGCAAGTGCCGTTTCTAGACGTGGAGCAGATCCCAGAGGGGCGGAGGTCGGCTGTAGCATCAGCTGTAGCCCGGGAGATGTGGACAGCAGGTGCCGCCCATGTCGTGGTGGAGCTCTGCCGCCAGGTAACCCCTTCCCCACTAGCTGCCGAGCTTGGCCGGCCAGTGCTGCCCTGGACGGCCCATGATGACGCCTGGCACTTTCCTGCTGCTGCTCCTGCTGCAGCTGCTGCTTCGTCCTCTGCCAGTGGTGGTGCTGCTGCTATTGGTGCTACTTCGTTTCCTCGTGGGGGTGCTGCTGCTACTGGTGCTACTTCGTTTCCTCGTGGGGGTGCTGCTGCTACTGGTGCTACTTCGTTTTCTCGTGGGGGTGCTGCTGCAAGTGCTGCTGCGAGTGCGCTTGGTGCTGCTGATAGTGCTGCTGGCAACAGTGCTAGGAATGAGATGGGTCGTGCCACCAGGAGACAAAAAAATGGTGGTGGTGGTGGTGCTGCTGGTGGCAGTGGCGGTGGTGGTGGACTAAACGTGGGACGAATGAGGTATACACGAGGGAGGTCAGAAATCGATGTTTTTCGGAGAGCTCACGGTGCCATGAAGGGAGTAAATGCTGGGGTATGGAGCAATGGAGAGCGTGGGAACGAGAATGCTGATATAGAGCACTGGAGGTGGGAGAGAAAGGGGAGTGAGAAATCAGGCCAGGGTGAGACGAAGAGGGAGGCATGTGACAGGGAGATGGAGGACGGGGGGGCGGCATGGGGGGTAGAGAGAGGAAGGAGAAGTAAGAGAGAGGGTAGGAGAAGCCGCTGGACAGTGAGCAGTGCAGGTGCAAACCATATATCTTTTACGGGTGCATCGGGGCCAGATGTTGTGGGCAGAGACAGGGGAGTACGCCTCAGTGGAGACGGTGTGGTTGGTGCTGGAGACAGCATGGCTGGTGCTGGAGACATGGTGGCAGGCGCAGCTATGGGCAGTGGTGCTGCATGGGGGATTGCGGGGTCTGGTGCGCGGTTAAGTCAGGAGGAAGCAGAGGCGTACAGCCGCGTGATGAAGGTGAGTGTGTGTCTGTGAGTGTGTTCGTGTTTGTGATTATTTGTGTGCATGAGCAAATGTGTTTCTGAGTGCTTGCGGGTGCGAGCAAGTGTGTGTGAGTGTTTGCGTGTTTGAGTGTTTGCATGTGTGAGTGCTTGCGTGTGTGAGTGTTTGTGTGTGTGAGTGTTTGCGTGTGCGAGTGTTTGCGTGTGTGAGTGTTTTTGTGTGTGAGTGCTTGCGTGTGTGAGTGCTTGTGTGTGTGAGTGCTTGCGTGTGTGAGTGCTTGTGTGTGTGAGTGCTTGCGTGTGTGAGTTTTTGCGTGTGTGAGTGTTTGCGTGTGTGAGTGTTTGCGTGTGTGAGTGCTTGCGTGTGTGAGTGTTTGCGCGTGTGAGTGTTTGCTTATGTGAGTGTTTGTGTGTGTGAGTGTTTGCGTGTGTGAGTGCTTGGGTGTGTGAGTGTTTGCGTGTGTGAGTGCTTGCGTGTGTGAGTGTTTGCTTTTGTGAGTGCTTGCGTGTGTGAGTGTTTGCTTTTGTGAGTGTTTGCTTATGTGAGTGTTTGCGTGTGTGAGTGCTTGCGTGTGTGAGTGCTTGCGTGTGTGAGTGCTTGCGTGTGTGAGTGCTTGCGTGTGTGAGTGCTTGCGTGTGTGAGTGTGTGAGTGTGTGAGTGTTTGTGTGTGTGAGTGTTTGCGTGTTTGAGTGTTTGTGTGTGTGAGTGTTTGCGTGTTTGAGTGTTTGTGTGTGTGAGTGTTTGCGTGTGTGAGTGTTTGCGTGTGTGAGTGTTTGCGTGTGTGAGTGTTTGCGTGTGTGAGTGTTTGCGTGTCTGAGTGTTTGCGTGTGTGAGTGTTTACGTGTGTGATTGTTTGCGTGTGTGAGTGCTTGCGTGTATGAGTGTTTGCGTGCACATAAGAGTGCAGCTCCCATGCGTGTCAGTGTAGAAGGAAATTAACGCCTGAGTGAATGTGTGTGCGTACGCGCTCATGCGCATGTGTGTGCGTGCGTGCCTGGGTGTCTGTGTGTGTGCACACACTCACGCACGTGTGTGTGTGTGTGTGTGCGCGCGTGCGCCTGTGTGTCTGTGTGTGTGGGTGTGCGCAGGCAGTGGTTCAGCTCAACGAGCATCAGCGCAGAGTGGTTGCCAGAAATAGCAGCAGCAGCAGCAGCAGTGGTAACAGCAGCAGTGGTCGGAGCAATAACAGCAGCAGCAGCAGCAGCAATCACAGAATTGCACCATCGGAGGAGGCTGGTTTGGATGCAGTTACCTCGGACCTGCTGCTTCAGCAGCACTTGGGGCTGGCAGAGCATGCAGCTGGGGAGAGCAGCCAGCAGCGTGATCTTGTGCATCTGTAAGCCTACTATTCAGTCGACTAGAAGCAAAAAGAAAGAAAGAAAGAAAGAAAGAAAGAAAAACATCACCACCAGCGTGAGCTTGCGCATGTGTAAGCCCTTTTCCTGTTCCTCTTTCGTGGTGTTTCTTTCCACAACTTCCGCCTTCTTTCCACCCATCCATCCCATGCCTTCAACCTGCGCTCGTCACTTCTGCTTTTGCCTGCGTGCCTTATGGCATAGACTCTCACCCCTTGCACCCTCTCTGCCTCCATCTCCCACCCCCCATCCTCCCCCTTCCCCTCCTCTCCCCCCCTGCTCCCCCCGTTCCCCTATCCCCTCCTTGCACAGAGCGTCCCAGGCCCCCTTGGGCCCAGCAGCGCCTGGTGGCGTCCCACTCGAGCCACATTCTGTCTCATCCCCCAAACATCCTCCCCTTTCCACCCCCCCCCTCCTTTTCCCCTCCCCCCTGGCCCCCCAATCCAATCCCACAGAGCCTCCCAGGCCCCCTTGGCCCAGCAGCGCCTCGTGGCGTCCCACTCGGGCCTGATCCGCTCCATCGCGCGCCGCTTCTTTGGCCACGGCGTGTCTCTCTCCGACCTTTACCATGTAGGTGGGATAGGAGGGGAATGGGGGGATGGGGCAACGAGGGTAAGGGTTGACTCGCCTCGTGGCGTCCCACTCGGGCCTCATCCGCTCCATCGCGCGCCGCTTCTTTGGCCACAGAGTCTCGCTCTCTGACCTCTACCATGTATGTGGGATGGGGGGGAATTGGGGGGGTTGGGCAGGGTGGCGGAATGAGCCTGATAGTTGACTCCCATATTCTCTGCCCACGCGGGGCTTGTGCGCTCTCTGTCGAGCAGCAGCCACGAACAACCCTCCTGTCCGTTCTTCAGCCAGACATGATACAATGCGATGCAGGATGAAGGAAGCGCCAGCCACGTACAGTTCTGCGCTCATAAGCACACCTGCAACCACATACAATGCCACAAGCTGCTCTTTTCATTCTCCTTCCCTCCATGACAAGCTGGAGTGAGGGCCCTGCTTCGAGCAGCAGCAGCCACGCACAACCAACCAACCCCTCAGTCACACCTCTCCCTCAACCAACCATCTCTCTCCTGCATTTTCCCTCTGCAACAGGCGGGGGTGGGGGCTTTGCTCCGCGCAGCAGCCACGTACAACCCCGCGCTCCATCCCTCAACCAGATATGACACAACAAACGAGGCTCCTACATCTTCAGCCAAAGGCGCACGGGGGGGATTGGAGAAGGGAGAGCCGAGGACGTGGGAGGAGGACGAGTATGGCATGAGAAAGGGCCGGCTGTGGGCGCTGCCAGGGATGAGGGGGAAAGCGGGTGCAGGGGGTGCGGGAGGAAAGGCGGAGGGCGGGAGAGCAGTGAAGAAGGGGATGCGAATAGTGGATGAAGGGCCAGGCGAGAGGGTGGGTGAAGAGTCTGTTGAGATGCAACCAGAGCAACTGCAGCCGGGGAAACAGGGGCAGCAGGGGCAGCTAGGGCAGGGACAAGCGGAGCAAGGCCTGCTAGCAGGGGCAACACGGAGCCATGGAAGAGTTGAGCACAGGGACGGGCTGCAGGAGGAGCAACAGCAAGCCATGTCGTTCTCATCCTGGGCCAGCCGTCTGGTCTACCAGGTGAGACCCCATTGCAACACACCCCTAGAGCAGGGGCGTCTAGAGCACGGGGAGGGAGTGCAGGAGCAGCAGCAAGCAATGCCGTTCTCATATTGGGCCAGCCATCTGGTCTACCAGGTGAGACCCCATTGCAACGCACCCCTAGAGCAGGGGCGTCTAGAGCACGGGGAGGGAGTGCAGGAGCAGCAGCAAGCAATGTCGTTCTCATCCTGGGCCAGCCGTCTGGTCTACCAGGTGAGAACCCATTGCAACGCACCCCTAGAGCAGGGGCGTCTAGAGCACGGGGAGGGAGTGCAGGATCAGCAACAAGCTATGTCGTTCTCATCTTGGGCCAGCCATCTGGTCTACCAGGTGAGACCCCATTGCAACGCACCCCTAGAGCAGGGGCGTCTAGAGCACGGGGAGGGAGTGCAGGAGCAGCAGCAAGCAATGTCGTTCTCATCCTGGGCCAGCCGTCTGGTCTACCAGGTGAGAACCCATTGCAACGCACCCCTAGAGCAGGGGCGTCTAGAGCACGGGGAGGGAGTGCAGGAGCAGCAGCAAGCAATGCCGTTCTCATCTTGGGCCAGCCGTCTGGTCTACCAGGTGGGGCCTCAGCCTTTAGTAGGTGATTCATTGCTATAGCTATTTAATAGGCCTACCCGGTCAGCAGCTAGAAGAGCAGCAGCCTTCATAAATGATGTCCTTCTCGTCGTGGCCGAGACATCTCATCTACCAGGTCAGTCACACGTGATTGCAATCTGTCCCTCTCCATTCCCCCTGCCCCTCCCGGCTGTTGTTCTCTGTTCTCCCCCACCCCTCTCCCCCCCCCATCTCCTCCCCTCCCCTCCCACCGCCTCCGCTCATCAGACCCTGCAGCAGGAGGTGTGGCGCCGCTCGCCTGTCTTCTCCTTCCCGCGCTACGCTTACTTCCAATACGCCGAGATATCCGCTGCCTACGCTGTAAGTGCCTTCTGTTACCTGCTGCTTATGTTGTGGGCCATTTTCTCTATTTACAAGTCACCTCGCTATGCGTGCGTTGTGAGTGCTGGCAGTATTAGCCGCCTTGGTCTCCTCTTACTCTTGTCAGCCTATTTCTGAAAGCGGCGATTCTCAAGATTTATCCCTCCACCCTCAGCCGTTTCAAGGAACTGCCCCCACCCTAGCTGCCCCCACCCTAGCTGCCCCCACCCTAGCTGACCCCACCCTAGCTGCCCCCACCCTAGCTGCCCCCACCCTAGCTGCCCCCACCCTAGCTGCCCCCACCCTAGCTGCCCCCACCCTAGATGCCCCCACGCTAGCTGGCACCGCCCTAGCTGCCCCCACCCTAGCTGCCCCCGCCCTGCCCTTCCCCTCTCGCCATTCTCGAGAGGCGTCCCTCAAAGAACGTGCAACTGGCACCAGTCTCTCCCACCGTTGCACTCTTTCCCACCGTTTGCTCTCTCTCCCACCGTTGCTCTCTCCCACCGTTGCTCTCTCTCCCACTGTTGCTCTCTCTCCCACCGTTGCTCTCTCTCGCTGTTGCTCTCTCTCCCACCGTTGCTCTCTCCCGCTGTTGCTCTCTCTCCCGCTGTTGCTCTCTCTCCCACCGTTTGCTCTCTCTTCCACCGTTGCTCTCTCCCCCTGTTGCTCTCTCTTCCCCCGTTTGCTCTCTCCCACCGTTGATCTCTCCCGCTGCTGCTCTCTCCCCCGCTGTTGCTCTCTCCCGCTGTTGCTCTCTCTCCCACCGTTGCTCTCTCCCGCTGTTGCTCTCTCTCCGCTGTTGCTCTCTCTCCACCGTTGCTCTCTCCCGCTGTTGCTCTCTCTCCCGCTGTTGCTCTCTCTTCCGCTGTTGCTCTCTGTCCCACCGTTGCTCTCTCTCCCACTGTTGCTCTCTCTCCCGCTGTTGCTCTCTCTCCCACCGTTGCTCTTTCTCCCACTGTTGCTCTCCCTCTTTCTCTCTACCCCTTGAACGGTCCGTCGGTCCTTTATCCCTCCCTGTCTTTCCCTTTCTTCCCCTCCCATCCCCCTCTGCCCCCTAATCCCCCCCCCCCAGTCGTTCCGCAAGCAGCATTCCCGGGAGCCGTCCCTCAAGGAGCTCGCAGCTGCAACCAGCCTCTCGCCCCAACGGGTGTTTGCTCTCACCGCCCTGCTCTGCTCTGTTCTCCTCCGCTCTGCTCCGCTCCGCTCTGTTTCGCTCTGCTCTGCTCTGCTCTTCTCTTCTCTTCTCTTCTCTGCTATGGCTTCGTTTCTTTGTTTTCCCCTCTTGTCTTCTCCCGCTGCTTGCCTTTTATCGTGCTCTAACTGCTTGCCCTGTTCCATTGTTTGGCCGTTGATTCCTTGGCCTCTAGATTGTGACTGTATCGAAGGCCATGATGCGAGTTACAAACCCCCTCTTCCCGTGTTGCATGTCTCTTATTACGTCCCACTCATCAGATTGTGACTGTATCGAGGGCCATGAGGCGAGTCAAGAACCCACTCTCCTTCGACGTCTCTTCTCTCCCTAATCGCACGCACACCGAGACCTTCTCCCGGGACAAGGCGGACCCCTGGCAGGTAGGGCCGAGGCTATGGGGGTTCCGGGGAGTGGAGAGGGAGAGACATTAGCACCTGATATCCCACCTCGCCTATCCCCAATCGCACGCACACTGAGACCTTCTCTCGGGACAAGGTGGACCCCTGGCAGGTAGGGCCGGGGCTATGGGGGTTCCGGGGAATGGAGAGGGAGAGACATTAGCACCTGATATCCCACCTCGCCTATCCCCAATCGCATGCACACTGAGACCTTCTCCCGGGACTAGGTGGACCCATGGCAGTTATGAAGGGCTGAGGATATGGGGGTTCCGGGGAATGGGAGAGATATATTAGCTGGTGATGTGCCCCCCCTCCTCTCCCCAACCGCACGCACACCCAGGCCTTCTCCCAGGACAAGGCGAACCCCTTGCAGGTAGGTCTGACAGGAAGGGCTTAATGACTGGGAGCGCGCCCTTTTGGCACAAGAGCTGAACTCCCTCGCCTCTCCCCAATCGCACGCACTCTAAGACCTTCTCCCTGGACAAGACGGACCCCTGGCAGGCAGGTAGGGGTTGGGATTCAGGTTAGTGGGAGAGAGCACCATCAGCACGTGGTATATATGCCCCCTCGCCTTGCCTCTCCACCATCAGTATCCAAGTTCTTGGCCTCCTCTCACATACTCTCCCCTCCCTCCTCCCTCCTCTCTTTTGTCTCCCCCTTTCCTCCCCCTCCTCCCTCCTTGCACCATCTGCAGGATTCTGAGCACTTGGTCCTGCTCTCACGTGCCCTCTCCTGCTCCCCTCGTTTCCTTCTCCCTCTCCTCCTCCCCTCGTTTCATTCTCCCTCTCCTCCTTCCCTCGTTTCATTTTCCCCCACCTTCATCCCGCTACCCTCCCTCTTCCCTCTATCCGTGTCCCCCCCTCTCCCCTTCCCCCCTCCCTGCAGCATCTGTTGGACTCAGAGCACCTGGTCCTCCTCTCACACGCCCTCTCTTCCCTCGACCCCCACCGCCGCATCGTGAGTCCACTTTTAGCTACCAGTGGCCTATGATGTTTAGCTAACAGTCAGCCGCAATGTTTAGCTAACAGTCAGCCACAATGTTTAGCTAACAGTAAGCCGTGATGTTTAGCTAACAGTCAGCTGTGATGTTTAGCTAACAGTCAGCCGTGATGTTTCGCTAATAGTCAGGCGTGATGTTCAGCCAAAAGTTTCCCGTTACGCACACTCAGTGGTCCGAACTCCGGGGTCTAGTAAGAGATGCTTGGAGCAGAGGCGCTGGAACAACCACAGTGAGTTGAGACGGATTTATGTATTATCTACGATGCAGGGGGTGTCAAGAGACACGCTGGGGTTGCCCTTGAGATCCTTGGGAAAAGGGTTTCTGGTGCAGAGCCTGGGGGGTTATGGGCGCACTTTTAATAAGCCCTTTAACCCTGTGGTTAGTGACTGAGTTCTGACATGTTATCAGAGCCAAAGACCTTTGGTTCAATTCCGAGTAAGCACTGCTGGAAGTGCCAGGGCTGCAGAGGCGCCTGTGTCTTCCGCCTATCCCAGCGAGGGGGGGTGTCAAGAGACACGCTGAGGTTGCCCTTGAGATCCTCAGAAACAGGGTCATGGGTGCAGAGCATGGGGGGGTAGGGGCACACTAATCGCTACTTAACAAGCCTTTTAAACTCAGTGGTTAGTGACCGAGTTCTGACAGGGGGGAGTGTGTGATGGTAAGTATAACGAGGCGCTGTGGTTTTCCTCCTCAGTTGAGAGTCACTGTTCGCTAGGAATGATGACTATGGCAGGCAAGAATGCTGAGTGTGTTAAGACTAGAAAGAATGAATAGAAGAAGGGAGAACAGGGGAGATATTGCGCTTGGGTTGTACCCATTAAAAACTTACCATATCTAGCCTATAACTTCTACATAACAATATATCTATATATTGACACACCCCCTAGGCTAGATAAGGGGTAGTGCTGAGCAAGAAAACACGCAGCTCAGGGTGGCACTACTAGTCCAACCTCTGAGGCAGGGGCCCGAAGACCAGTCAGCAAGAGTACAAGCAAGACAGAGCAAACCAGGGCGGCATGACTAGTGCAACCACTAGAGGAAAAGCCACAAGGCCAGTCTGGAAGGCATAAATAAAAAGGAGTACACAATCAAGAGCCTAGCAAGTGAGAGTCAACAGGGACTAAACCTAACTGCAAGCAGTGCCGCTGATGGTCTCTAGGCGGAAGCGCCTTAGCAAAGATATCAGCTGTGTTGGCACCGGAGGCCAAGTGTACTACGCGGGCCTGGCGAGGCTGCTGAAGCTCGTGCAGGAGGACGTACCGCAGCTGGATGTGCTTCGCTCTGCCCTCAAGTCGAGGCTCCTGACACAGGAGGATCATGGCATTGTTGTCAGCGTACAGAACCGGGGCAGAGCTAGGCCGCTCACCTAAGTCGGCAAGCAAGAAGGTCAGCTTGCGGAGCTCCTGTGCCGCCATGGCACCGGCGTAGATCTCAGCCTCGCATTTAGACTGAGCAGCAGACGAGAAACGAGTGGACCTCCACACGATGGCACCAGAACCAAAGCTGAAGCAGTAGCCCTAGGAGTGCCCATCCTGGCGCTGTCCTGTTAGGTGCCGGCGGAGGTCGACGAGCCAGGCGGCAAAGTCGATAGCGTGCCCCTCAGCGTCCAAGCGGAGAATGGCGTCCGCCATCGCACAGTGAGATAGCGGCACAGCGGCGCAGCGACTCGGCGGCTCGGCGGCTCGGCGGCTCGGCGGCGCGGCGGTTCGGGGACACGGCGGCACGGCGGCTCGGCGGCACAGCGGCTCGGCGACACGGCGGCACGGCGGCACGGCGGCTCGGCGGCTTGGCGGCGCGGGTGCTCGGCGGCTTGGGGACACGGCGGCTCAGGCGACGAGGCCGGCTAGGGCGCAAGGGCCGGCTAGGGCACAAGGGGCCGGCTAGGGCGAGCGGGGCCGACAAGGGCGCGTGGGGCCGGCTAGGGACGCGGGGGGGCCGGTAGGAGCACGAGGGGTTGTAGGGGGGCGCGACGGGGCCGGTTAAGGGCGCGAGGGCCCGTAGTGGCGCGCGGGGCCAGCTAGGGGCGCAAGGGGCCGGTAGGGGTGCGACGGGGCCGGCTAGGGGCGCGACAGAGCCGTAGGAGCGCGACAGGGCCGGTAGGGGCGCGACGGGGCCAGCTAGGGGCGTGGCGGGGTCATAGGGGCGCGACACGGCTGTAGGGGCGCGACGGGGCCGTAGGGGTGCGACGGGGCTAGCTAGGGGCTGGCTAGGGGCGCGAGGGGCCGTAGGGGCGCGACGGGGCCTGCTAGGGGCGCGACGGGGCCGTAGGGGCGCGACGGGGCCGTAGGGGCGTGACAGGGCCTGCTAGGGGCGCAACGGGGCCGTAGAGGCGCGACGGGCCGTAAGGGCGCGACGGGGCCGTAGGGGCGTGCAGGGCCAGCTAGGGGCGCGAGGGTGGCGGCACGGGGCGGAAGCGGGTGGGTGGACCCACCTACTCGTGATACCATGTTAAGACTAAAAAGAATGAATAGAAGAAAGAGGAACAGGGAAGATATAGCGTTTGGGTTGTACCCACTAAGAACATACCCGATCTAGCCTATAACTTCTACATAACAATTTATGTTTAAGTTGACAGAGCGTATCGGGAATGATGAGGATGCCAGGTCGTCTCTCTTATGTTTCCGCCTTCTACTACATGTGCCGTTCATTTCTGCACCTCCTCATCCTTGCCGTTCATTTCTTACGTCCTCGCCTCGCCTCACCTGTGTCCTCACCCACCCTGGACAGATTTTGGAGCTTCGGTTTGGTCTGAGAGGGCCGAGACAGGTCTCACAAGAGGAGGTATGTGCATTGCTCACTAAATGCAATGGTAAAAGTTTAGATTGGTGCCATATTTGCACTCGAGCAATTTCCCAGTCATCTAACTTTTCTCGGTGGTCTTTTTTTTTGGGTTGCGGAGCAACCTATTGCAATCAATCGAACATATTTTTTTTTCAAGTTTTGGTGGTAAAAAAACAAAGCTTAAGAAATGAAAATGGTCTTTATCTTACTACTAGTACTTGAAATCTGAATCTAATTGGTTCTTGTGTAAGCAAAAATATGTGTAACGATGGGAAATAGAAGTCAATGCCTCTGTTTCCCGTCATATCTCATGGCGTATTTTTGTCGAGACAAAAATAGGCTATCGCTTCCCCAACTAAGTGGGGGAAGCAAAAAGCCTAGTTCATCACAACAAAATCAGGCTGTCGCTTCCTCAGCTCTAGCCGGGGGGGGGGAGCTTCAAGCCTAATTGCCAAGAATTAAGTACAAGCAAAAAGCAACACAATTTGTGAATTCCAAAAAGTGGTTTGCATTCATCACCTCCAGTTCAAATGACTGCACTCAAAGAGAGAGTCAAGAACCTTGCTTTTAGTGATGAAAACAATTCCACTTTTTGAAATACACAGTGTATTACTGTTACTAGTAGATAAGTGACTACACAAAGGCGTAGAAAACAGTTTGAAACGGTTGCACTGAAACATAGACGCGGTTCAGAGATCAATGAATCGTCACGTTGCTTTGCCCATAACGATGCAAGTTAGCATCTTCAACGAGCTGAAACTCTGCAGGAAGTAAATAAATTAAAAAAAAAAAAAAAAAAAAAACGGAATCAAAGAGAAAGAGTAAGATATAAACAGAAAACGTACGCAAAACGGATCGGGACGAAGATTCAATGAAAAGGGTAAGTAAGATTGAGATAAGAAACGAAACTGAAAGTGGCACAAGGATTGAAAGGAATGGACAAGGGAGAAAAACAAAGAACTGAAAATAAAAGAGGCGGCGTAGATGGAAGAGAGAGATAAAGTGGGGGAGGTGAATGGAGGGAAGGAAAGGGATTGTACTCACCGTGTCTTCAAGATGCCATCTGAGGATGCAAATATGGGAAGAGAGAAGTAAGAACTCAATGCAAAGGAAGGGGAAGGCTTAGAGTATAGAGGAAGAAAGCGGATGAGAATCCGTACCGAGTATTTACGTTTCCTCTACTAGCTTGAGAAAAAAATGAGAGAAGAAACATAGAGAAACTATTAAGATACGGCTGCATGAAAACGTAATTAAACCACTATTCATACCGACCTGGAGTACTCTATCGTACAGCTGAGATAAGAAAGGCACTAGTAGCTGATGTCACGTTGCTGCCTAATCACGTTATCTACCATCACCAATTGCTGGACTTGGGGAAGAGCAAATCGTGAGACTAGGGTATCGAGGAGGAAGAATAGAGCATAAGGCACTCATGTTTCTGCAGTTCTGAACCCTCGAGCAGAGGAGCTGCGTTCAAACAGCCGTGGTTATGCAGCTCTATAAGAGTTTTTTTTTTTTTTTTTTTTTTTTTTTTTTCTCGGTAAAAAAGTGCCCCATCGCACTGAAATTCGCGTAATTGTGTTATTTAACAAAAACTATCGGTAGTGTAACTTCGAAATTCGAATGTGTAACGCGTAATGCATCCAGTGGCGAGCTCGGGGTGCTCTATGACGGAAAGAAATCAGCATTCTGTGGCAGTGTAGCTAGGCTGGTGTCATTTCCACGTCGGATCTAATTCCGTCTGGCAGTTACGCGTGACGAGCCTTGCTTCTACGCCAAAAAATAGCATTGCCAGTGGCCAGATTTGCTCGCCGCAAGTCAATTGTGGCCGCTGTCAACACGTAATCAAACAAAATTCAAACGGAAACTCCCGACGGCTGGGCATTTGGCGGAAAGGCGAAAAACATTTCAAACGCACAAAAAACAGAAGACACATTACGGAAACACGGCTACAGTGGAACAATAAGGAATAAACTATTCAAGAAAACTGTACAAGCAGAAACGAACAACAAAGAAACCGATTCAAACAGCATGGCACGATTTTAGAACAGTAACGCAAGTCGCGCAAGTTAAAGCCCAAATTTACATAGTATAAATATACGCACAAAATCAATTGTATGCCCAAAGTGTATTAAATGCATTCACATTGTGATTTCATGTACTTCTATTGATGCACCATGACACAACTTATCTATTGAATGCTTACATAGTATATGTATTAATCCATTGTTATGTGTTAACAGATACTAACGCTTTGACTTTTAATAACTAGCTTAACCAAGGATATTTAAATATAATTAATATATCTATATAATATAAGCTCCGCAACCCTAAGACGATTGCGTCGTCTCTTGTTTTTTTTTCAGATTGCTGCAGCGTTGGGAATGACCTTAAAGATGGTGTCTTACTTAGAGGTATGATATTTGTTGTGAGGTATTCTAGATTTATATATGCATTTTGCATTCACAATGCCATATGGTCATTGGACACTTAGCTCAATTCTCCCTTTCGTGCATTGCACTTGCAGGTATCAGCATTGCGTCAACTAAGGAGAGCATGCATAGACAGTATAACCCATGACAATTATTAGAAGTTTTTATCATCTTGAAGCTGTTTGTCTTGCTTATGTTGTTCCAAGTCCTCCATTATTGGTATTAGAAAGTGGAGCTGAATTGAAAGTATGATGTGTGGTAAATGTTATGAAATTATTTTGCACATAATTCTTCAGGGGAGCATGACTACAAGACAGGGCCTCAGATTGCAGGCTTTTATCCTGATTCAGGATAAAATCAGGGCTTTTTTGGGGGGTGACCCTGATGAGACAGGATTTTTTTAATACAGAGGCCTGAAAATTCAGGGTTTTTTTAAGAGTGAACTCTGATCGATCAGTGTGCGTAGTGCAGTGTGGCCTGTTTTTCCAGCGTTGTATCGGAGCCCGACCCTGATTCTTCTAATAGCGGATTCCCAGCCCCAACTCCCCCACCCTGTGATTTCCGTGAATCCCCCCCCACCGTTCCCATCAATGACGCCGACTCCAGTGTGACCGACCAGATTCCAGCCCCGCTGGAGAATATTCTGCCAATTTTCCTCCAGCACGTAGTGCTTGGCGGGGTCTCATTGGCTGTTCGAAAGTAGCCAGCCACTGCTGTCTCCAGCAGAGCGTGGCTGCAGGGTTTGGATTGGCTCATTGCCAAATTTCAGCCACAGTAGCCAATACACCTGGTACAATGTTGGACAGTTGGCCCACCAGCACGGCAGTAGACCGCTACCCACGCGCTTCATGAACCACATGCATGCATGTAGAAGGCTGTTGCGAGCAGCGTGCCCTCCACAAACCTCAAGAGACCCCATCCACTTCATCGATCTCGTCAATCGATGCTGTGCTGCCACACCTGCTGCCTCGTTCAAGTCGGGTGCTTCCACCCTTGTCATTCCATTTCTCCTCCACGGTTGTTACTGATTTTCTCACCGTTGCCATCGCGCGATGGCAGCACCTAGCGACGGTGATCCAGAAGGCAATGACGGTAGCGTTCCTCGTGCAGACCTGTGCACGGGGCTCGACTTGCTCCTCTCGACACTGTCTAGCCTCACCCGCATCCCAATTAGAGCCGATGCTACACCTAGAGAACAGGAAACTGCAAGAAAGGAAGTAGCCGACTCAGTTCCGATGTAGTCGTTCTTCCTGGGCAGAGTCTTGGACCCGGTCCGTCGGCACCAGCCGCCGTCGAGCGCCCTGCTACTGCGACGACTACTCCCAAGCGCCTTGGTCGCTACCGCCAGGCCAAGTTACCGCTCGCGAAGCCGACTGGAACTGTCGAGCCGCCGGCGTCGATACCTGCTGATGACGATGAAGAGCCGTCTGAAGACGATACACCTTCAACCTCCAGGAAGTCTCTAAGTCCTTCCGAGCTTACGCTAAGGCTCTTTCCTGTTAGAAGGCCTTTAAGTGTACCATCTGTCTGGAGCTCTGGAAGGACTGGTCGTCGTGGGCCAGGAATCACAGACGCACAAACACAGGCGTTCAACTGGCACGTTGGTACCGGAAAGCACCAGCAAAACGTTCTGCTGCAGGACGCTACTACCCAGACGCGAATCGATCAGAACCCGCACACCGCAGATTTGGAGAGGGAGTGAGTGACTGTGCTTCTCGACCTGCTGTACACCTGTTGCAAGACCAACGAACCCATGGACACATGGGTCACGATCACCAACCACCTTGCCTCGCAGAAGTTCAAGAACTTCCCCGAGGGCGGATACGGGACGTACATGAACTCGTAAGGCCTAAATTCCTTTAGAATTTTAAGCTTCTTATTCTTACCTTCCATCCTTATAAACTACTAAGGACGAGATTTTTCATGTTATTAAACACAGGTACAGTTTCGGGGAGTTCACGCAATCCACCGCGACCTGGCTGCACACCACCCAGCTGGAGCACCTCCTGCGGAGCCCGTTCATCGGACTTAGCCTCGACGAGAGCACGGACCGTTGCAGAGGAAAGCACATGATAGTCTTCTGCCCTTTCATCCGGGACCTCCGCGTCGTCACCGAGTACCTGGCGCTGCTCAGCGTTGACAAGGCGGGCACCTCTTCTCTGCTCGTTATGCTGCTCTCCCACCTGCAAGCAATTGGTGTCAATCTCCGCCGCATCTCGGGCATCAGCACAGACGGGGCGGCGGTGATGATGGGCTCGAAAGCCGGCCTGGTGACTCGAATCCGGATGCGTATCCCTCACCTGGTCTCCTGTCACTGCATCGCTCACCGGTAAGTTTTTTTTTTTTTTTTTTTTTTTTTTTTTTTTGCATTTGCACAGATGGTGATTTGGGACAATACTAGCTATCACTCATGCTGGTTTGTTTGATTTCTCCCCGTGTCTTTTCCATGTGTAGAGAGGCGCTGGCAGCTAAGGCGACGGCGGAGGACATGCCGTTCTTCAACATAATCGATGATGTCATCAAGGAACTGGCCGAGTTCCTTGGTCGCTCAGGACCGTGGCACCAGCACTTCCTCGACCTCCAAGGCGTCTTCCTCTCGACGTGCTTGGAGCTGCAGGGTATTCACCAAGTCAGATGGCTCTCACGCGGTGAGGCCATCGGACGGCTGGTGAAGGTCTTGCCAGCCATCGTCGTCATGCTGTCCGAGTTTGCCGACGACCGTCTTTACAAGATTGTCACGAGCTACAGGTTTTGGTTTGTGCTCATGTTTCTTGCTGATGTTCTTGAGCAGATGAACATTCTCAACAAGACCTTCCAGAGCCGCGAGGTAAGTTTCGTCACATGGTGCTCCTAAACCGCTACTGACGAACCATTGTTGTCTTACCTGTATTCTCAAACCCTTTCCCGCAGCTGGACATGTCAACGATTCATGCGTCGGTCTCCCGCGTGACGTCCCTCCTTGAAAGCCGGTACGTCGACTGCGATGACAACCTCAACAGGGCCCCGAAAGACCTTCTCACGGCCTTACTCGCCCGTCACGATCCTGGTGGTACGCGCAGCGTCACTGTTCACCTTCGACCTGCATGAGGAGCCATTGGATGGCTACCCGGGTGAGGGCAAGCACGACGATTGTGTCGTGGCGTGCATGGTGCTGGCCAAAGGCATGGTGCAGAACCTGGATGAGCGGCTGGGGGACTTGAAGCAGCTGGGTGGTTCGATGCTGTTCTGTGCGGACCAGTGGTCGAAGGGGTGGGAACGTGCTCCACGAAAGGCCCAATGTCTGGAGTGGTTCGGGATGATGGTCGACCTCTACCATGCAGGGGAAGCCGAAGAAATTCTTCCAGGTATCTCACCTGTCTTTAACCCCGAGGCTTGCACGATTTGTTGATGTGGTCCGCTCTACCCTACTGTATTAATACTCTCCTCGTCCTCCCTCCTACCCTTCCCCTACTGGCAGGCATCAACAAGCGAGCGGCTGTGTGGGAGATCCCCCATTTATGCCCTGTCCTGTCCGCCCTGCCAAAGGGTGACAAGGGTTTCTACACCGACTTGACAACCATGCTGAAGTCTCCAGACTGGGAGGATAGCTTCCCCAATCTCGTCAAGCTGTGGCGCGCTACGGCAGTTCTTCCCCTGAGCACAGTGGAATGTGAACGAGGGTTCTCCCGCCAAAATGTGATTAAGGACATTTTGGCGGGAGAACCCTCGTTCACATTCAGGCGTTAGTCCACGACAGCGTGCAGGCAGAGGAGGATGCTTAAGTAGGTCCTAGTATGCCCATGTTAAATTGTCAATCCTTGTCTTTAAAAAAGATAGTAATAATGGCCATTTAGTTGAACAGTGTGTTTGTTATATGTAACTCTATTTTTTCAGTGCAATTTTTTTACAACACCCTGATTGATCAGCGTAAGTTTCTTTGTGAGGCCTTAAAAAACAGTGAGGCAAGGGGGGGGGGACCCTGAGCGATCAGCGTGCCCCAAAACGAATCTGAGGCCCTGCTACAGAATGTGTTGTGGTAAAATCGTTCTTTAGGGGAACAATGAAAGGCCTAGGGCATGTTGTGGTATCGCACTTAAGCATTTCTGTAAGTAGTTCCGATAGATATTGTCGAGTTACACTGTAGTTAGCATCCATAGAATGACGTCAGCAAATAGCACTCGTCTAGATGATTACGCCAGCAAGACGTTTCAGTCACGCGAACAGTCGCGCTCTTTTCAGTAGCGGTTAGAGCGCATAGCACAAAAAGCTCGAACAGGTACATCACCGAATAGGTACTTCTAGTAGATATAAAAGTAGCTTGTACAACTTCAATTATTAACTTGTTCTTCAGTAAATTCTGGTCAATACTTTACAAGTTTTAAGACTTCTGCTGTCTTACTAGTATACCATTCCAGCAAAGATCCTTGGTTAAATCTTGAAGTATCGCAAGGCTGTAACACTGATTCTGGTGTTACAACTTGTTAATACTGGCTGTTACTGGAGGTACTTCCAATATTACTTTCTACTTCAAGTACTTGTGTCTGGTGATTCTATACTTAGTCTCTTGCACCATCTTTCAAATTCTTTCAGGGCATATGTAGTGCTAGTTGACCAGGTTGAACCTCTAGAGTTGTACCAGTAGTCCCGAGGGTGACGGGGTCAAATTGGGTTCGGGGTGCCTCGGTAATACGTTCAGGGCTGAATAGGTCGGCGGGGGTGGTTTGACGCGAGACTCGAGGGCCGAGGCTGCGGATGCGAAATGTTCGCGGTGAAATAATTTGACACGTGGTGCAGAAGACTAAGTATAGAATCCGCATACACAAGTACTTGAAGTAGAAAGTAATACTGAAAGTACCTCCAGCAGGCCCTCAGATTGGTTTTGGGAGGGCTGAAGCCTCTGGGTCGCCCTTACGACTGCCCATAGTTTTCAGGGTCAGGGTTTGGAAGTGAAACATTTTTTCAGGCCCAAAAATTTTCAAGGATGACTGGTCAGGGCTACAATCTCGAGTACCCTGAATTCTGTATGCATTTCACCTGTTTAGGCCATGACTTGCATGCAATGAAGAAGTACTGATATCAGGGGGAATTAGCCACATGTCTGTTACAACAACAATCTCACAGCAGGTTATATAATACATCCATAGATATTCATAGCCCTGATACTTGGGTTGGATTAAGACAAGTCTCTTCAAGGAGTCTGCAGAGCAGATGTCATAGCATTACTGGTCTCAATGATACAGCACACAATATTGGATGGCAAGGTACATAACATAAGCTACAAACAGGCTGCTTAAGGCCAATAAACTAAAAAGGAATGCGAGACTGGAATACAATATGACAGGTATATAAAATGGGAGGGAGGGAGGGGTTCTAGATTGAGATCTAGAAATGAATGGACTAGGTGGTGGGTCTGTGGACCTACCAAAAGATAAGGAGCAAATGACTCCTTATTGCATACTCCTTTGCAAAACTTGTCATAATCTTTAAAATTTCATATGTATTTCAAAATTTGGCCACTGCTGCAGCTGCTGTGGCCACACGGCAGAGTCTTCCAGGTGATGGTTCTGCTGCTCCAAGTAATGCTTCTGCTGCTCCAGGTGATGCCTCTGCTGCTCCAGGTGATGCTTCTGCTGCACTAGGTGATGCTTCTCCTGCTCCAGGTGATGCTTGTATCAGAAGACTAGGATGCTAGGAACGGTAGACGACCATGGAATGGCGTGAGGGTTTAGCTAGGAGAGGAAGTTGACGAGAGAAAAGGAAGCGAGAATAGAAGAGAGAGGGATACAAGGAGGGGGGTTGTACCCTCTACAGCAGGTTTCAGTAACACCTACCAAGCCTACCAATTATATATCAAAGATATAATTTACAGTGGCGGAAACAATTGTCCGGATGCTTTGCATTAATTAGGGTTTTTGAGCTTTCCGACCACTGTACGTAAAGTCTTAATGCTTAATGGTGGTACGCTTTGCGAGGGGCACATAGTGGATGTTTTTACAACACTCAAATCCATGATAGTACACAAGAGTGGCCTTGATCACCACCTACACCCTCCTAGGCATGCTATCTACAAGGCTAGTGCAAACCTTTACAGGGATCTTCTCGCACTCTTCCAGGACCCACGCTTTTGCATAAGGGGGTGAGCACTAGGAAAATCGCGAAGTATTTGAACGTATGCAAGAGTACTGTGCACGATTTCATGTTGAATGTTGTCTCTGAGACTAACCATGCTGAGGTGTGGCCAAAGATGTCATAAGTCGATTAGTCCCATCTTATCATGAATTTTCTTAGTCGTACCGTTGTAGGGTAAAATTACGAGCAGAGTGGCGAAAACTAGCGTATCTGCCACGTAACTTAGGGTAACATAGCACGGTCAATAGTGCATCCTTGCACTAATAGAATCGCGCTAAAATCTACGGGTCTCGTCACGGTGCAGCAGTCGAAGAAGCCTCGACTGCCCCGTCACGTGCTCTAGCATGCATACTGCGAGCCGCTCCAAGCGTGGTTCCGTGGGTAGGGGGTGGGGGGGGGGTGGGGGGAGGGTTTCAGTTTCAGGCCAAAAATTCGCTAAGGCTGATAAATCATGCTACTCGTAACTAGAACGTACTATAAATCAGGCCTATCAAAATAAGAGCCCCTAAAAATCAGGAAAAGGGAAAATCGAAACCTGAAAAAACAGGCCGACCCCTGAAAAACACCTTGATATACAGGCTTTCAGGCCTTTTTGGCCTGACTTCTGAGGCCCTGACCTCCAGTAACAGCAAGTATTAACAAGTTGTAACACCAGAATTAGTCTTAAAGCCTTGTGATACTTCAAGACTTGGACAAGGATCTTTGATAGAATGGTAGACTAGTAAGACAGCGGAAGTCTTAGAACTTGTAAGTGTTGACCAGAATTAACTCAAGAACAAGTTAATAATTGAAGTCATACAAGCTAATCTTATTCCCGCTAGAAGTACCTGTTCGATAATGTACCTGTTCAAAACTATTTGCGCTATGCGCTCTAATTGCTACTGAAAAGAGCGCGACTGTTCGCGTAACTGAAACGGCCTGTTGACGTAACCATCCAGACGAGCGTTATTTGCTGACGTCATTCTACGGATGTTAACTACAGCGTAACTCGATAATATCTATCGGAACTATTTACAGAAATGCTTAAGTACAATTTTATCACAAGACGCGGTACTCGCTGTGGCGAAACCCAGTAAGGATTGTGAATTTCTTTCAGAATACAGTAACTGCCCCTTTCACGCAGCTCGTTAACGAGTGCAGCTTTGATCTCCAGCGACTCGAGTGGGAGGCGGTTGCGGTTGTGACAGCCTTTCAGGTGCCCCTCAGGGTAAATTCCGCAGCGAGTGTTAGACCCAAGGGTTTAGCGGGAAGATCCGAGGCTGGAAAAAATTGCCTCGGGACTTGCGAAAAACGGTCGGTTCCAGTCAGTCAGCTGTCGAACCGAATTACTAACAATGTCATGCACATGAAATTCCACCAATCATAAAGGAAATTTCTGGTGGACTCGCAAGGTTCGGCCAGTATAGTCGCAACCCTTCCCTTGCGACAGTTCGCGACAGTGCAGCCACTACACCGTTAAGAATATAAAACCTACTATTAGGTTGTGGCAACCAGCGGCTCCTTCGACCGCGGGTCGACCTCGGGTCTGACACTCGCATCGGAATACGCCCTCAGCCTTTTACAAACCACGCATTGCATCCGTTCAGGATTTCGATCTCCCCTCTCCTCTTGTCCATCCTTTACCGTGTGCTCGTACAAAAACCTCATTTGCCAGTGGTGAGGGTATGCACGATCAAATCACCGACACCCTCAAGATGCTGTTCGAGTGGCCCACTAGGAACCCGCCATGTCAGCCCGAGTCGCGCTGAAACGAAGGTTCTTCTACCGAACCAAAAAGAGGAAAAGACAACCAAACCGCACGTGTGGGCAATCAGATAGCGTTGTTAGTAAAGCCAAACGACTTACCGCGTCGGCCAATTTAACAGTGCACATAAACGATTGGTTGAGGGTTTTTAGTTGTTAGGTTACTGTTACTAGGGCGCTGTGCACTGTAGTCACGGTTAGCGCAACCCGAGGAGAGTTTTGTCCCGTTCCGAGCTCCCAGGGGCAGTTTAGCGTTCATCGTAGTTATTGCGTTTCTGATTAGACCACTTGGCACAGTTTCATTGGGTGTTAACTGTACATATCTGTTTGCAAAATCGCCCACACTTGTCCTTGTTTTTTCTACCCAACTCGGATGGCCAAGTTGGAGGTCTCGATTTCCATTGATCTCAGAATCACTGTCGCCGATTTTCCTGTCAGCATCCAGTACATTATCTGCGCGTCACCGCACAAACCTGAAAACGAGATTGTCGAGAACCGTCAAACACTGACGGAAAATTCTTCCCCAGCTGCCTGATTCGAATGGAGTGACGACTAAACAGACTGTATCCAGTAGAGCATCACGCGCTGGGGAAAAGATCATGGACGTTTGATATTACATATTGATTTCACATACATGTAGATTTAATTGTGCATGCCGTCTTAAAAGCGAACACCAATAATAGGCACCATTTATTCTCAACATTTCATTTTCTCCTTATTTACACACCTCCAACAATAATTTTAACGGAATGAAATGTAACACAAGCATTGTATCACTTTGAATATCTTCTATATAGCAACCACAAGTGCCACAAATTTTGTCCTGTTATAAGGTTTGCTAAAACACAATCCCTGAAAATTAAGGGGTCGTGGATGGGTATAAACAATGGCACATAAGGTACACAGATAGTGCTGACAAAATGCCCACCCACTATATGTAATTCCAAGAGGCAAAACAAGAGGCGACTAAATCGTCGTAGGGTTGCGGAGCTCATTTCATACCGGTACTTTGAGATGATTTAATTACGATATGGCTTTTCCTGTATCATGTTATTTTTCGTAGTATTGCGTCTAGGCTAAAAGAACAGGAAGGAGGTTTATATAGAAGTGTAAAATTTGTTGTTGGCTCCTTGCGTGCAGCTCGCGGCGCCAGCGCGCATGGCGCCTTGACGCTCTCAACGTAGAAAAAAAAAGTAAGTAGAATGAGGTGGTACAGGGGGATATAACCTAAGGGGTTGTACCCTATATGAGCATGCACCTAGCTAGCCTATAACATATAGAAATTATATGTTGACAGACGCTATCGTTGCGCGTTGGTGCATTGCACGCTGGCTCCTACATGCATGGCTCCGGGCTGCCAAATGTGCATGCAGCGCGGAGAGGAGGAAAAGAGGGTGCAAGTGTTACTGAATGTGATTTAGCTATCCAATTGCTTGCGTTTTTCTTCTCCTTCCTTTGTATTCGAGTCCCTACATTTCTTTCATTCTCCCTCTCTCTCTCTCTCTCTCTCTCTCTCTCTCTCTCTCTCTCTCTCTCTCCTCTCTCTCTCCTCTCTCTCCTCTCTCTCTCTCTCTCTCTCTCTCTCTCTCTCTCTCTTTCTCTCTCTCTCTCTCTCTCTCTCTCTCTCTCTCTCTCTCTCTCTCTCTCTCTCTCTCTCTCTCTCTCTCTCTCTCTCTCTCCCCCTCTCTCTTTCCACGTGTGTTGGTGCTTCAGGATTCAGGAATGCCTGTGGAAATGATATCTGGTTTGGGGCGGTGATTTTTAACTACAATAGACTGTTGAATCACATGTTCAATTGTTTTCTGCTCGTCGCTGCATTTCTTTTTTATGATGCATTTTAGAGTCCATGCGTCGCTGTTTTTTTTTTTCTTTCTTTTCTTTTCTTTTCTTTTCGTTTCTGGCTCCTTGCTGCTCTTTACCATTTTGATGTTGCTTGCCTCGTTCATAGGCTCGTATCTTAAGTATTGCATGTCGATGTATTTTAAAAATAGGTCCTTACATATCAATTCACGTATGGTTTCATCGACTCGCCGTAGTCGCTTGAAACTGGATTTGATATGTTTGGTCTTTAATTTAAAATTCTCTGGTTGTGTTGCTCCCCCGGTTGCTGCAGCTGCACTAACAGAGTGGGATTGGAATGGGAAGCAAGGGAGAAAGGAAGGCAGGAAATAAAGGAGGCAAGGTAACGAGGCAGGGAAGATAGGGAAGATAGGCCATCTACCTCCCCATCCCTTCCCCAACCCTTCCCCGTCCCCTCTGCCATCCTCCTCCCCATCCCTTCCCCATCCCCCTCTGCCATCCCCCTCCCCATCCCTTCCCCATCCCCATCTGCCATCTCCCTCCCCATCCATTCTCCATCCTTTCCCCTCTCCCTTCACAAACCACCTTTGCTCGTTCCCAGCCCATCCCTTCTCCATTCCTCTATGCCATCCCCCGCCCCATCCATATCTCTCCCAGCCGCATCCCCCTCTCTCGCTTCTACCACTTTGCCATATCCCTCTCTGCCTTCTCCCTTAGCAAGTACACCTCACCAAAAGCAAAGTGGGGGTCCTCTTGAAAATGCCCGGGGAGGGGCTGGTCGCCAGCGTGGTCGTTTAGCTAGGTTCGGGGACAAGGGAGTTTCAGTTGTGCGGCAAATTTGGGTGTCACCGACACAATGCCAGTACCACACGCCAAAAACTGTTGTAAGGAATTTCCATTCCTTACTGAGTCGTACGTTAGCGCGTACTGTTATAAACTGAGCTAGCAGGAAAGGAGAAGGCCGCCATGAAATGGCGGCCGAGGATTAGCTAGGGTAGATTGACGAGAGAGAAGAGAATCGATTAGGAAGAGAGAGGGGTACAAGGAGGGGATTGTACCCTCTACAATAAGGTTCAGTAACAAAAAACAAGCCTATCAATTATATTTAACTTATATAATTTTAACACGTACACTCGAACTCCTCGACTCATCACGTACGGCGTCATTTGTCGGCCTAACCCTTTCCAGAGTCGCGTCCGGCACTGTCGCCACATTGCCGAATCTACCCACGTTCCGAGGTTATCGCCCTAGCATGCCAACCCCTATGTAACCTCGTGCCTTCATTGCAATTACGACGTTGTATTCTCACGTTATATTCCATAAACACTTCCTATATCATAACAACAGTCCTCGTTCCTAGTCGCTTCCGGGTTTTGTTGTGTTCATATTTTGTTCAGAGCCAAAAGCTGGAATTATTTAATGCCAGCGAACAAAATACAAGTTTCAAGTGTGCCCATTCTTTTGGTTTTTAGCCAAGGGCTTTAATTATTCAGCCCTTATTACAGATACAGCAATGAACAATTATCCTCCTGCCTTAAAAGAGCGTTCGAGGTTTGTCAGAATAAGATACTAGGGGCGATAATTGTGTAATGACAGATTTAGCAAACACACATTTGTTCGTACCTAGAACTACACCTAGCGCACCATCTTATGGCAGATATTGCAAAGGACATGAAGCAAGTTACTGCGGGTGCAGCAGCATGTGCTGCTGCTGCTGCTGCTGCTGCTGCTGCTGCCATTGCTGCTGCTGCTGCTGCTGCTGCTGCTGCTGCCATTGCTGCTGCTGTTGCTGCTGCTGCTGCTGCTGCTGCTGCTGCTGCTGCTGCTGCTGCCATTGCTGCTGCTGTTGCTGCTGCTGCCCGTGATGCTGCTGCAACAGTGTCGGTTGCAGTCGCTGCAACATCTGATGCAGCTGCTGCCACTGCTGCTGCTGCCACTGTTGTTGTTGCTGCTGCATCTGCTGCTGTTGCAGTTGCCGCAGCAGCTGCAGCAGATGCTCCCACTGCTGCTGCTGCTGCTGAGGCTGCTGCTGGGGCTGCTGCTGGGACTGCTGGTGGGACTGCTGCTGGGGCTGCTGCTGCTGCTCACCCTGCTGTTGCTGCAGGGTATGCTGCTGCCCGTGTTGCATCTGCTGCTGCCGTTTGTTCCGCAGTTGCTGCAGCTGCAACCTTCAAGATTGGCGAAGTCTCTCATGACCCAATAGCTGACGCTGCTCTTCCTCATGCTGTTGCTCGCGACGGTCTCCAGTACCCACTGTCTGGCCCCTGGTCAACCCCTCCAAACCCTGCCCCTGGCGTTCTTCTAGCCTGCTCTCCTGCATATCGAAGTTTGCCACTGCACTGCCTGTCGTCGGTGCATCCCCCACCCTCGGCCCCTCCCCCCCTGCTGCCTGCCCCCTCAGTTCATCCGTCACTTGCCTTTGCTGACGAAGGTGCTGCATTCGTCGCAATCGAAATCGTATCACATTCTCAGCAGTGTCACATGGAGCTTGACCAGTTGCAGGGCCAGCTCCTCCCATCCCTGCAGCTCCTCTCATCCCTGCAGCTCCTCCCATCCTTGCAGCTCCTCCCATCCCTGCAGCTCCTCCCATCCCTGCCACTCCTCCCATCCCTGCAGCTCCTCCCATCCCTGCAGCTCCTCCCACCCCTGCAGCTCCTCCCCTCTCTGCCACTCCTCCCATCCCTGCAGCTCCTCCCGTCCCTGCAGTTCCTCCCATCCCTGCAGCTCCTCCCGTCCCTGCAGCTCCTCCCACCCCTGCAGCTCCTCCCGTCCCTGCAGCTCCTCCCACCCCTGCAGCTCCTCCCATCCCTGCTGCTCCTCCCACCCCTGCAGCTCCTCCCGCCCCTGCAGCTCCTCCCACCCCTGCAGCTCCTCCCATCCCTGCTGCTCCTCCCATCCCTGCAGCTCCTCCCGTCCCCACAGCTCCTCCCCTCCCCGTAGCTCCTCCCCTCCCCGCAGCTCCTCCCCTCCCCGCAGCTCCTCCCCTCCATGCAGCTCCTCCCCTCCCTGCAGCTCCTCCCATCCCTGCAGCTCCTCCCATCCCTGCAGCTCCTCCCATGCCTGCAGCTCCTCCCATCCCTGCAGCTCCTCCCATCCCTGCCGCTCCTCCCATCCCTGCATCTCCTCCCGTCCCCGCAGCTCCTCCCCTCCCCGCAGCTCCTCCCCTCCCCGCAGCTCCTCCCCTCCCCGCAGCTCCTCCCCTCCCCCCAGCTCCTCCCCTCCCTGCAGCTCCTCCCCTCCCTGCCCTTCCTCCTCTCCCTTCCACCCGTCCCCTAGCTGCCCATCCTCCCCTCCCTGCACGCCCACCCCTCCCCCATCTTCCTCCCCTCGCTCCTCTTCCTCCCCTCATTTGTCTCCCTCGTTCCCCCTCAATGTCCACTGCCCCTCCTCTTCCACCTATGTAGTCCTGCTCCACTCCCTCAGATGCCATTGTTGGCATCTCCACCCCTGGATTGACACCTGTCATTCCCGGTGCTGGAACATGTACCCCCCCCTCTGATGGGCCCCCCACACCTGAACTCCCTCCATTCTCTGTGCTCACTTGTCTGACGTTCCCATCAGTCTGGCTGTCCAGAGGCTCTCGGTTGGACTTGACAAAGATTTCACGCAGCTCAGAGTGGCTGCCACCTTCCACTCCTATAAGGATTGCTTCCTCCTCTCGCTCCTCCTCCCACTCATCACCCGAGTCGTCTGAACTACAACTGTCCCCCTCCTCTTCCGAGGCTTCTGGCCCGTCATTCACACCAGCACCCGCAGGGTCTGAAGTTCCGTCCACCCCCCGCCCTGCCTCTTCCGCTTCTTCTTCTCGTTGCTGCCTAAGGGCCTCGCACACTAACTGTCGGTGGTGGCTGTTGTTGCATGCAGCACATGGTGCCACATTAACTCTTGCCTCTGCCTGTGTAGCAGTCTGCACACTCATGTGCCCTTCAGGGGTAAAGAGTGCCTCCCATGCGGCCTGCATTTGCTTCCGTAGATCGCATGTCTTCCTGTTGTGCCCCTTCTCCCCACACTTTCCACACTAACGCAGTTTCCTGGCATCAATCTCACCATGGGATCTCAATCGCTGCAAGCGCGGCCTCCCGGGCTTCTTTGGATATGTAGGAGGAAGAATTGTGCGATCTGGTGTTACCTCGGTGCGGTCCAAGGTGCGTATCTCCATGTTGTACAGGTCCTTCAGCGCTGCAGAAGTCTAGCATTGGTGCACCATAGACCGGACAACTTGCTGCAGAGCCGCCAATTCATTGCCACGAGCAGGCCGGGTTTCGTGGATGAGGACGGCAAACATGTGCACGCATGGCAGCCCGTACTCCCTGCAAGCACATAGGAAACATGGACTAAACGCAATTTTTAATAAAAACACCGTTAGCATGATGGCCTACACACATGGGTAGGGGTGTGGTGGTGGGGGAAGAGAGGGGCAGAGGTTGCACCCGAGTGCGAAACGGAAGGAGGAAAAGCACGTGCGTTGATCATGTGGAGGTTAACTTGCATATACTTGAAGGGAACATTGTTGGAAAAACTCACTTTGTGTAGTTGCACGAGCACTCGGTCTTTTCTGGATGCTCCAGGTTTTTAATCACCACCCGATCCTCCGCAGCCCCGGTCGTGCGGCTCACTTGGTAGGAGGTTCGCCCGTTCTTCTCCACAGCATAATGTGTGCCCGTTTGACAGTTAGCTCTGATGATGGCTTCTGTTATTGGGGGAAAATCAGCAACCCCAAGGCCTCCATAGAGGTCACGTCCCTCTTCTAGTGCGCTCGCTTGCCGTTTGATGAATGCAAGCAAAACTTGTGGGGGGTTCTCTTGTCTCAGCCCGCGCATGGAGGCATGGTGCGACTCCACTGGGTTTGACGTGTAGCAGCCGTAGCGTGCTGCCCCAAAATGAAAAGTAGCCCACTTTTGAGCCAAGCCATCCCTCTCTAAGTACTCCTTCCCCCCAGGACATTCCGCCTCGATCTTCTCCACTATGCCACGATGCACATCTCTAGTCAATGCTGCAGCAGCAAGCTCAATCTTGCCATCCAAATCGCTGCCGAATTTTGAGGCAAAATTTCGCTTAAGGTGAGTCACACAGAACGCCTCACGCATCCTAGGCAGCACCCTTATGGCAGCGGCCTTCCATGCTTTGCTCCGGTCATGCATTAGAGTGAATTGGGAGTGTCAATCTCTGGTGCAGCCACCTTCAATTGCCCCAGGAAGTAACAGCATGACTCAGCATTCTCACCTTCAGCCCAAGCACTCCCAAGCCTTACGAGCTTATAATCACAGTCCAGCATGCATGCATTGAGTGTTTGTCCTCTCCACCTTCCCTTGTTGTGGCAGCCGTCGACAAAAACGATAGGGAAACAATTCCTCACGGCCTCTCTAGCCCCCGGATACACCACCCCAGCCCGATAGAACATGCTCCCTTTCAACATCATCGATACGACACTGGTTGGGTTCTTCTGCTTGAAAACCTCCAGAATACTCCCAATGTACTGAAAACCGGCATCTCCCGCCAAAGGGTCCTCCTCTACGACGTCTGCTATTGATCGACGCATAAGGGAATAGCATCCATCCTGCCCTAACCTCTCTTGAACCACCTGCTGCAGACCAATAGGTCTTACAGGACCGTAAGGCAGCATTTCGCGCACGATTTCCTTCACCTGCTCCTTCTTAGCCCGTCCAGGCCGTGGCACGCACATGCCTGCATGCTTTAGAGACGCAATCTTCACGCTAAGACTACAATCTCGAGGCCCGGTCGCCTTTATCCTAAACGGGCAGAACCCTTCAGGTGGGTTCGCCTCATCTTTAGGCCATTCTCTGCCTTGCATTGACTGGCAGCGCGCTTCAAGCCGGTCTCCTTTGTTGTGGAACCAGTACGGTTCAAAGTTTTTATGGGAACCGTACTTGAGAATTTCTTGCCTTGCAGCGTAAGCAGATGGGTAGATCTTCCTCTAAAAAATGTTGACCTCCTCATTGCGTTGTCCTAGGAACGCACTGTAGAGAAGCACATGACGGCAGAACGAGACTACTGAGGACCCATCGAGACTTGAACATACCGTAAACACTCAAAGCTCACAAAATCAACACTCATTGTTCAAATCTAGATGTCACATCTGACACAAGGGTCGAACTGACCTTGAAAGGGAGCTTCTGAACATCCTCTGGGCGTTGTTGAGCTCCAATCCAAAGAGGTTGCATAGACTATAGAAATCTGGATGGTCCAAACGGGTGCCATATCAAACGGATGGAGAAGAAGGGAAGAGGGGTGATGGGGGGAGTAGGAGGGATAGGAGGCGGAGGTAGGTAAGGAGCAGAGGAATAAAAGAGAGGGGGGAGGGGATTGGCGAAATCAACAAGAGAGAAGAAAAGGGCTGGCGGGTTGAGGAGAGGAGTAAGCAAGGGAGGCGTATTATGGCGATAAAAGGAAAACGGGACGACACTAAGAAGGGGCGGATTGAGTAGAGCGAAAAATCAGACAGCACGAACCGGCAAATGAAACTAGAGGGGCGAGTTCGATGGAAAAACGAGAGGCCAATAGAGAGCAGCAAAGGAAACTACGCGAGGAAACTAGCAAGGCAGCGCAGATTGAGCGGAGAAAAGCATGAGAAGCATAACTAAGAGCCGGCTGACGGGAATACCACTTCGATTGGAGGGTGGAGGGAGAGATGCTGTCGCGCAAAATTCGTGCAGGAGATATGCTTGTGTAAAAGTCGTGAGATGCTGTGGAACATAATATTCTGCTGCTGAGGTCACCTAAATACTACGGTGATTGTACATGTGCAACGTGCTTAACAGATAAGTCACGGCGCTGCGAAACTTGAACTTCCTAGAAACCCTAGAACGACTAGTTAGGGTGGATATGTGTAGGGTTGACGAGGAGGTTCAAGCTCCTCTGCAAGAC